GCCCCCCACGACACATTACCCCAGAAGGTGCAGGACACATCAACAAAAAAAGTAAATGCGAAAAGAAAAATAATAAATTTCAAAAAGTAAAAACTGATGACCAATTATCAGTCAATTCGAAGACATTTAATAAATTCACCTTAACTACCTAATCCTCGATTTACACTAATTGCGTCATACATTTAACTACGTGAAACCGATGAGAACGATAGAAATAAAAAAATATAATATGCTAAAACACCTCTCATTCATCCTTACATGACAATGTAGTTAATTAATTATCAACTCAATTAATCAAAGAGATTATTCGTTTTATAATACAGAACATGAACAGAACAGATTCAAATTAAATCACACGAAAGTACGTCATCCAAGCTGCATAGGATCATCATTAATTAATACCTAATTAGTTCAATGCTTCAATCCTCCATTCAATTAAGAAAATAACGTAACATTTTTTTTTATTTTTACGTAATATGACACTTTTGGGTACTTGGATTACGTTTCTGAGGTCATTTGCATACAAAATTATCTCGAAATAACCGGAAAAATTGCCCTTTACCTACTTATTTAATTTTTTTTTTAATTGTTTAGAACGTTTAATGCAGCCTAGTTAAATAATCCTAGTAGGCGCAACTCGGGATTTTTCTCATTCATTTTAAAATTCAATTATTTCGAGGGATTATTTACGATAATCGACTGATGCATAGTCATTAACCCCTGGAGACAATTATTTCATCATTTATGAATGTACATTATTGCTAAAGTAATAGTGTAAAAAAATTGAATTACCGTAGAAACTCGAGATTACATTTTTTATGTATATGTTTAATCGATTTTTAGCTTCAATCAATGCGATTTGTCTTAGTCTTTCGTAGTTGATTCATTCAATTACGAAAATTGCTGGATTTTTCTATTTTTTCGTATCGCATTTTCACTGGTATACACCATCTTATATCGTGTAATTTGGGGAATTAATTGTTTATTTCTAATTTTTTTTGCATCGCTATAATTAAATTATTCTTGTCTTATTATGCACTTCGCCCTTGGGCAGTTTAGGACCATCACATTTTTTTCACGAACGAAAGTATCATCATTATCGAGGGGCCGTGGTTAATTGTCTTCATTTAGGTAATTTCATGCATTGTTATTGCAAAATGGGTTTCTCACACCTTCGAAAAGTTGGATTATCTCGGTAACCGTTGGTTTTAGAAGGAAATGTGTTTAGACATTTTTTGGTGGAAATTTAATTATCTGCAAAAAAGGTTATTTGACATTTTTCGCTGGAACCAGCCAGTAACGAGATAATTAAGAAATTACAGAAGTTGTGATTTTTCATTAGGAGAGATCAGATAAATAGTTCCTTTTTCATCTTCAATATCTTCTGAACAAATGGTACGATTTGAGTAAGTCTGCGCTCATTTCAAAGGGTGAAAAAATGCCTTGAAAATGACGCCCGATTTGTCCAATTTCACTCTACCGATCCCGAGATATTTCAAATTGAAAATGACCTGTTTTATTTCAATCTCTTCTACGAAAATTTCACCATTTTGCTTTTTAATAATCTTGTTTCCTCAATAATTTCCACATTTTCTTACACTTCATGGCAGTGTATTCTTCATTCACATCCTGTTCAATTATCTTCGCTACTTTATACAGGAGAATTGAATTTTTACATGATAGATTAACAGATTAAACTCGTCAATTCGATTTTAGTTATTGAAAAAAAAAGAAAAATAAAAAAGAATTCCCTCGTTATTTAAATGAGTGAGGGAAAGTGTCCTAGTCGTCATGATGATGATAAACTAATGAAATTAATTAACAAATGGAGCTATCGATTTAATAAAATAATGATTAGTCTGCAACGAGTGATAATTAATTCAATTCGTTATTGAATTTTTTATCTTTTTCAGGTTAAAAGCATTGATCGGTTAAATAAAATTGTTGTATTAGTGATGGATCTACTTGCGATATTTATCTCGGGGACTCCGTTTGGGGTACTTTTGATTGTTCGATTTGTTTCGAGATTAATAGATTTTTCATTTACTCGTTAAGTTAATTCCTAGTTGACCATGAGCGTGTGAGACTCCATGGGGGCTGCACTGTCGTACAGGGTGTCTGTGTCTTGGGTTGGCTCGCCCTGGAGTTGACACTGGTTGGATAATGTTCCAGCGCCACAATCGCAGAAAAATCTGGAGAAAAGCATTTAATTTAAAAGTTGTAAATTGAAAAAAACAATTCAATTCATTTATTAGGTTTTTTAGAATTGGTTTAAAAAATAATTTCAGGTTTCTTTTCTGTAAAGAAGGTCTTGTGGCATTTTTATTGAACTCACTGATTGTTGATATGATTGAGAAATTAAGAAATAAATTATTTTTGTTGTGAATGTTTAAGGAATTTTTAATTAATTCAATTTTTAATTAATTAATTGAAAGTGTTTTGAAGATAATTCTATAGTCAACAAAGATTTAGACATTCCCTTTCCATTGGAAAACTCAATGTTAATTGTTAAATTATCGAGTTTAAAAACATCAAGATTTTTGAAGTGTTTAACATTTTCGTACAGATTCTAGTTGTCTAGAAAAAAAATCTCTTCATTTCCTCCTAAATCCACTCATGAAGATCTATGCATCCCCTTATATTGAAAAAAAACAATGTTCATAGCAAAATTATCGTATTAATGTGCAACATGGATCAATAATTGTGTAAAAAATTAAATTTCCTACAAAAAAATCTTGAAATTGTCTTCTAAACCCATTAATTTTCAAGATAATTACAAATAAACAAAATTTTCCACATTCTCATCACTTGAAAAATCAATATCAATCCTCAAATGATTATCAATCGATTGATGAATGAATTTTAAAAAATATTAAGACATTTTTTTCACGAATTAAATAACTTTGGAGATGTTTTTTGAATAGTTCCATTATTTTTTTCGTCATGTGATGTTATGAGTTTAAAGTGGAATCGATTAAAATTGCATTTACCTGTCGTGCCTAATAAACTCAACGTCATGCCCAGCGTGACACGTCCGTATACAATTAACACATATCGCATTTCTATCAGTTGTGTTGCACGTCTGACAGCGATAAAAGTCGTGCATTGGGAAGGATGTGTACGATGATATTTTGTAGAGACACTGGCCGTTCTCCACTGCCTTCTCCACGGCGTCTTGGTTTTGGAAAATTTTGTTATCTGAAGGAAAACAACGAAGACGAATAAATAATGATAACGGATGAATAACAATTCCCTCAAAATTCCGGGAGCTAAAGCAAATGCTATTCGAAAGAAAATTTAAAATATTCATAATTTATCGAATATGATGAATAAAATACTATTTGAATATGTCAGACCAGACAAATCTCATTTGAAATCATTTCTATCTTTAATTCAGGAAATATGACAAATGGAGCAGCTGACGAATTTTTTTATCATTTTATTCCATTCAAAAAATGAGAAAGTTAAAGTAAAAATCAGTAAATGACTCAATTTCTGAGGAGAATTATCAAGAAACATTTTTTATTGCAAATTTCGTTATCTCTGAAAAATGCGTTTGAACATTTTCTCTTGAAATTCGTAATTAACGAGATAATTTTGTAATTATCGAAGCATTTTACGTGGAATATAATTGTTTTAGTTCAATAATTATGAAATTATCTCGTTAATAATCTATTTTAAATAAATTTCTGAAATATTTTTCTTCTATTTCCTCATTATGAAATATCAAAAATAATTTTTCCATTTTATTTTGCCCCTGAAACCCGAATTTCCTCCATTTCCTCATAATAAAATTAAAAAAATTATTTTTTGATTTTATTTTCCCCGTGAAAACTAAATTTTTCAATTCTCTAAAATGAAAAACTATTGACAAAGTCAAAATAATCACTTTTAACTAAATTTCTGATCTGTATTTCCTTCATTTACGCATGATGAAAGATTAAAAATTATTTTTTAATGTTATTTTTCCCGTAAAACGCAAATTTTTTTATTCTCTAAAATGAAAAACCATTGGCAAAGTCACAATAACGACTTTTAAATAAGTTTCTGTCATGTATTTTCTCTATTTCCTCATGGTGAACCATCAAAACTAATTTTTCCATTCTATTTTCTCGAAATAATGCATCACTCACCTCTCGACGTAGGTTTGACCCCAGTAGCCAAACACAATCCCCCAAACCGATTATTAAAAATCTGATTGAACTCCAACGTAGCAGTGGCATTATTGGTGATCTCAACTCCAGCAGCCAATCCATCAAAGATCCTATTCCTCCTCAAGACAGGATAGCTCTGCGTAGATATGAGCACCCCAGCCTGTGCATTTCTGAATATATCATTCTCCTCGAGGACCCCCTTGCCCCCATTGAATATACAAATTCCCCCATCTCGTCCATCAAAAATCTTATTTCTCTTGAGTGTGGGATTGCTATCAGTTTTAATCCATACCCCAGCCATGGCATTATCAAAGATCTCGTTTTGCTCCAGCAGTCCCAGTCCACTATTGTAAACAAGCACTCCACCATTCTGTCCCCCCCATATCTTATTACCCCTGATAACAGGATTACTACCAGTTCTGATCTGCACACCAGAGTACAGATGATTGAATATGTCATTGTCCTCGAGTTTTCCATGTCCATTGTCATAAAAATAAACTCCAACTTGTTTTCCACTGTGAATTCTATTTCTCCTGAGGATTGGGGTCGATCCAGTGGTTATCCAGACCTGTAACAACATCAAAATAACATTATATATTTTGTATCTTGTTTTTTTGTGGATTTTGAAGCATTCAGAAATATTTTAGGATTAAAAAAAAATATATGAAGTCCAGTTTTTGAAGAGGGAGGGTGAAATAATGGGAGAATTGCAATTTTTTAAGATTACGTGCTTTTTTTATGGATGACTTTTCAAGGAAATATCTTGAAAAAATTAATTCTTTGACATTTTCCCCTAAAACTACGGCTCAACAAAAAATGGTTATCAGTGGAGAATAATAAAATTTTATTGAATAAAAAAAATTGGTAATTTTTAAATCATTTTGGTCCAAAAGAGAATATCAAGAGACATTATTTTTGAAAAATTTTCTCGTTTTTTTAATTCTTTTTTTTATAAAAAAATAGTGATTACTAAAAATTCATTAAAATTATCTGAAGATAAATCTTTAATTTTTATCTTCCTCATTATTTATTATGCTTTGTTAAATGTTGGGAAACATTTTGGGATTGTGAAAACGAAAAAGTGTTCTTTTTTAAGATTTGTAGAATAATTGGAACATTGCAATTTTTGAAGATTACAAGCTTTTTTATCAATGATTTTTCAAGAGAATGATTTGAAAAAATTAATTTTTTGGCATTTTTCCCTAAAACCACTCCTCAGCAAAATGAAATCATAATCGCTCGAGATTCATAAAAAAAATTTTCTAAAATTTTTCTTAATTTTTTTTAAAATTCTTTTTAAAAAAAATCGTGATTACTAAAGATTCATAAAAATTATCTGAGGAAATAATCCTTTAATTTTTATTTTACTAATTTTTTATTGACCATTTTAAAGCGTTAGATTAATAATTCGATTATAAGTTCTTTTTATAAACGATTTTTCAAGAGAATGTTTTGAAAAAGTTAGAGTTGTTTTGAAAGTTCTAAAAAAAAATGTCTTTGACAAGAAAATAAAATAATAATCACCAGAGATCCATAAAAATTCATTAAATAATAAACTTAATAACTTTTAAATAATTTTGGTAATCCACGATTCCAGAAAATAATATTAAGAACCATTTGTTTCAAATTTTTCTACTTGGAATTCAGCTCCAAAAAAATCTATCAAAAGAATGATAAACTCTTCTTTTCGAAGAGGAGTTATAAAACTCAAAAAATCCAAATGCAAGTCCAAAAAAAATGATTATTCCTTCAATCTCTCGGTAATACACGATTTCAGTCGAAAAATATCGTTGTCCCTTGAAATCAAACCGAGTAATCAACATTACTGAATTATCAAAGATAATAAAAACGAAAAAAAGGCATACATACCCCAGCCAATGTATTAGCATAAACCTCGTTCTCCTCGATGAGTCCCTGTCCCTTCTCATGAACATAAATGCCCCCATGCTGTCCATGATGAATCTTGTTATGTCTGACAATGGGATCTGAATTCGTTCTGATCTGAATCCCAGCCAGAGCATTCCCATAGATATTATTATGTTCAATGAGCCCCCTGCCCTCACCAAAGATGTAAACACCCCCCTGATGTCCGTTATAAATCTCATTCCTCCTGATTGTTGGATTTGAGTTGGAGGTGATCCAGACACCGGCAAAATTATTCGAGTGTATCTTGTTGTCGATGAACTGTCCAAGCCCATTCTCATGAACATAGATTCCCCCAGTCTGTCCATGATGTATCTCACACTGAACGACTGTTGGATTAGCACCAGCTTTCACCTCGAACCCAGCAATTCTATTGTTGTGAATGTCATTTCCCTCGAAGTACCCCAGACCATTGTCAAACGTAAAGATTCCCACGTCCCTCCCATGGTGAATGTGATTGCGTCTCATTATCGGATTCGCGTAGTTCTTCACCCAGATGCCAGCCAGAGCGTTCCTGGAGATCTCGTTGTCCTCGTAGGTACCCTGGGCGTAGTCTGTCACGTAGAGACCGACGTTTTCACAGTCTGAGATGTCGCAGTTTTTGACAATGGGGTTGGCACCTCCACCTGAGACACAAACAGCTGCTCCAACCACTGAGGAACTTCGGATTATGCAGTGGTCGATTGTTGGCGAGCAGTTTTCACCGATCTCCAGGCAGTAGTGCTTATGGTGGGGCACTGTGCTGGTCACTTCGGGGGTGAACTTCAGGGTTAGGTGACCTGGAAGATTTTTTATTTTCGTTATTCTGGGGTGACTGAAGGGGATTTGAATTTTAGACAGTTGAAGGGGATTTTTTTTTATTAACTCAGTTGTTCGTGAAGGATTTCTCATAGTGAAGTTCAGGGCTAGGTCGCCTGGTGAGATTTTTGCATGCGAATGGATGCATTGTAGTTGTTCGAATTCAATAAATGTACAAACAACAAATCTATCTCCCTTAGATTCGGAAATATTACTCAAAAACTCAACTGGGAGATAAATCCACTTAAACCATTTTACCAATTCGCTACTGAATTATTTTTCTCTATCAACTTTTTTTGATATTGGGAGCACTGGTGAGAATAATAACTTTTCATTCAGTAGAACAGAAAATAACTGAGAAGTTTTGAGGGTAGAAAATTTTGCCAATGGATTAATTGAAAAGAAAATGAAACAGCGAAATCCAAAGTCCAGAGGAAGTCCCAGGGGGAGACCCAGAGGGGGAAAAAGGAAAATGTGGTGCTGAATTTCAATCGAATGAAAAAAGAAAAGTGTCATCGCCCTAATCTAATCAATTGAATTATGGACGAAATATTTCATATTACTTGAAAAGAGAACTGTGGATAAAATTAGTGAAAATTATAAATATTGTCGTCTCGATATAAGAAATATATGAAAAACCTTCGGGAGTTTCGAATGAGGAGAGAACATAGACTCAGCGATGACGGGGTCTTAGTTTGGCTGCTGGAGAGTCAGGGGACAAGCTGACTAGTGGACGTTGAGATCGAGATCTAACAGGGGAGTGGGATTCATCTGTGGAGGTAGTCGCTACGCTATACAGGGCTTTCGAATATCACTGATTTTTTCGCACACCGCATGTTCTTTTCTACCGAATAAAAAATTATTATTCTCATCAGTACTCCCAATAATAATAAAAGTTGATGAACAAAAGTTGATAAAAAATTTTTTTGCTTGAATTGCGTCAAACAGTCGTTTCTCGGCTGTTTCATTTTGCCCCACTCTCCCCTATGTTTATACAAATTTTAGTGGCAGTAACTGGGACATTGTCAGTATTACCAACCTGCATATGCTCTTTTCGCCCCCTCCACGAACATCATAGTGGATTCAGTCTCACGCTCGAGTATAACGGATTCAGCGACATTACCCGGGGCAGCACCGATGAGGGCAACGTCAGCATCGATGATGAGAAATTCGCCTCTGTAGGTGTCCTTGTGAAGGAATACGATGGGCTGAGGGGAGTCCGGGGCGTCTGGGGGGGACAACTGGGGATTTGTACAGGTGGATGGGTTCTGGGGGGTTGTCGAGGGGGTGCTGGGGGTCGTCGAGGTCGTCGATGAGGGAGTCGTGGGGGTGTGGGGGGTCGAGGAATTGGACGAGTTTCTGTACTCCTCGACGTAGTCAAGGGCGAACTGAATGGTGTCGAAGTACGAGAGATTGCGACCCTTGAACTTCAGGTCCTGAAAGCCTCGACGCACGTGAACACCTCGGTACAGCTGGCGGAAGGACTCCTTCCAGGGATTGGGGTAGTCCGAGTCCTCCGGGGAGACGAACTCGAATTTACAGGGGGCTGGGTTGAAGAGGGGCAAGTCGTACTGGTAGACTTGCTGGTACAACGACTTCCAGAGCTCTGTGTCGTTGGCTATCGCCTGGAAGCGCTTGCAGACCTGTGACATCCGGCAGAGGTCGATCTCCAGGAAGTAGTTGAAAATTGTGAGGAGTACCTCGTCGGGGAGCTCGTAGAGGAGGTAGTGCGCTGCTGTGTTTGTGTTTGTGCCTGCGGGGAAATTGTTTTGGTTAATCACATGAAGCTCAAACTAGCTGAATATTCGTCACCGGAAAATTCAATTTAGGGGGTATTTAAGTGTACACTGAGAGACAAACGACAATGGTCTCAAACAAGTCTTACTTGTGCCAAGAAAATAGTTTTTTGAAAATTATCAAAAAAGGATTTTTTTGTGCCAAACATGCAGAGAGTGCGCCGGAATGAAAAATTTTTGTCGCAAAAATAGATTTAGGTGTTCAAAAATAATTGCATTCTCTGCACACGCAAGAAATGTCATTTCTAGCACTACTCCTTCGTTATTCGATACTCCCATACGTATTTTGCTCCCGAAAAATCTTTGTTTTGTGCGAAACAAGGGACAGTAGTTTTTCGTTTGGACTGTCTAATAATCACAGACAAGAAATGAACCCTTAAATGAAACAATAATAGTGATATGGTAGCAATCTTGTAACTTAAAATGATGGATAAAATATTTGTTGATAAATTTTCCTCTATATGAGATATTTTCATCATGAAAAGGCGCCGTCTGGTGTGAATTGTCCGCCTCTTGAGCCAAATATTTCGTTGCTGTCAAAAGCAGAGCAATTATTCATGTTTGAGACTTTCAAATTCGAACCAAACAAAGTCCTTTTTGGCAATTTTCAACTAGCGATTTTGTTGGCCCAAACAAGACTTATTTGATAACGTATTTGTTTTTCTCTCAGTGTAGGAAAGTCAAGTAATCGTATATGCAAATGTTTTTTAAGTGCGAAAGAGTTTGGACATTACTTAAAAACATTTGTATACCCCTAGATTCTCCTAAGCTAAATCTTCTGCTGTCGAATCTCTCGCTAGTTTCAGCCTCATGTTAATTATCTGGTATTTTCAATTTTTTCAACTTTATTTAATTATTTTAGAAATCATCAATTTAAATATTCAAATTCTAGTCCATTTTATTAATCAATAATTTAGGTAGGAAGATTGACGATTATCTGGTCAATTGGTAATCCCTTTTAAAAAATTAGAATTATTTATTCAATGGAAAATTCACAGTCCCCTAGTATCAAATATTTAATTCATCACCAATCGCAAATTTACATTATTAATATCATACTATTTTTATATTTTGTAAATTCCTGTAATATTGTTGAAATTTAATATTGATGGCCATCCCTGATATCTTGTGGGAATTGTTTTGCGATTTTGTGAACATAGAAGTGAGTCAATTCAGATGAAAATATCCCATTTTTTTCAAATAAATCCAAGGGCATCCAAGATATTTACGTAATAGTCTCAAATTCGCTTCAAATTTTTCATTTTTTGACTCATTTTTCACCGAATTTTACGTCAGTCGCTAAAATTGTCAGCAAAAAATGTCAAATGGCCTTTTTTCTGGAAAATTCACTTTTCTGCAAAAGATTTTAGACATTCGCCAAATTATCGGGCAATTATCTCTGAATTCCCAATTATCAAAAATTCTATTCAACTAATTCTTCAAATATCTCCGAAACTACTAGTTTTATTGCAAAACGTCGAGAGATATTTAAAAAATAAAAGAACAGATTTATTCCATTTTTTATTCTATTATCGATTTATCAATGCAGTGCTCTCTTTATTAATCAATTCATGATATTTACCATCAGTCGACATCGAACATGTCCGCCTGGGTCGTTTTCTCGCTGGTAGAGTGAATGAACCGAGTGCAGCTGCAATGCTACTGCCACCCTGTGGTGGTAACGCTGAGCTTGTGCCAGGCGCTGGGTCTGGATGTGGTGGACTCTTGCGTCTCAGGTCATACGGAGATGAGTGAGAGTGGCTCGGCGATGGGGATGGCGCTGCTACACCTGACACACTCGGCGACGTTCCACGTGCACCACCTGCTCCACCACCACCTGGTGGAATTTGATTTGATGCGGGACACAGGAGGTCGCATGGCTCCGCTGTGAATTCGTTAAATCATTTCGTTAATTTATTTATTCGTCTTTATTCACCACAAAAATCAACTCCCAGGCTCGTTCTCACAATTTTTGATTCCCTGAATTTTCTCTTTTTTTCTTCATAATTAACGAGGAGAAACTAATCAATAAAACGAAGTGGATGGAACTGATATCAGAAATTATTAGATTTAGGGGAAAATGTCCAGTGCATTTTTTGTTCCAACTTTCGTTATTTATACGAAAAATCTCTTGACATTTTTGCTAGTCACTCGTCAACGAAATTAATTGGAAATATCGATGGGATTTTAAGTGAGGTAAAATGGTTCGAGGCATTAAGGAATTGTTAAATGTTTAATTATCGCTGAACTGCGCCCGCAATTCCATAACACGTCAAATTTACCTTTACATTTACTTCTGTAGCAAATCCACTAAAAATTCCGAAAAATTTCGGATTGAAATCATGATATTCCAGACTTAATCTCAGAATTATCTCGATAATGACTCCGTAGTGATTTTATTTACCCCATCCAAGGCTGCATCTAAGAAATATTCATTCCTTGTGAATTTTTTTTTTCATCATAATTAATGCGAAGAAATTTAATTGGATGGGAGCTTACATCGCTGATCACTAGATTTAGGAAAAAATGTCAAGTGCATTTTTTGTTCCAACTTTCGTCATTTACAAAAAAAATCTCTTGACATTTTCATCTAGTCACTGTTCATTGAGATCAATTCAAAAATATTGATTGGGGTTTGAGTAAAGTGAAGAAGTTCGAGGTTTTAAGCAATTGTTAATTGTTTAATTGTCGCTGAAATGCACCCGAAATTCCCCAAAACGTCAAATTTCACTTTATAAATTCCACTCATGAAATTTCAAACTTCAATCTCACAATTATCCCGATAACTAATCCATAGTGACTTCATTTACCCCATTTTAGGCTGCATCTCACAATTTTTTGTAAGAAATATTCATTCCTTGTGATTTTTTTTCGTCATAATTGAAAAAAACGAATTGAATGTGAAGTTACATCGCTGATGACTACATTTAAGAGAAAATGTCAAGTGCATTTCTCGTTCCAACTTTCGTCATTTACAAAAAAAATCTCTTGACATTTTCATCTAGTCACTGTTCATTGAGATAAATTCAAAAATATCGATTGGGGTTTGAGTAAAGTGAAGAAGTTCGAGGTTTCAAGCAATTGTTAATTGTTTAATTGTCGCTAAAATGCACCCGAAATTCCCCAAAACGTCAAATTTCACTTTATAAATTCCACTCATGAAATTTCAAACTTCAATCTCACAATTATCCCGATAACTAATCCATAGTGACTTCATTTACCCCATTTTAGGCTGCATCTCACAATTTTTTGTAAGAAATATTCATTCCTTGTGATTTTTTTTTGTCATAATTGAAAAAAACGAATTGAATGTGAAATGATGTCGCTGATGACTACATTTAAGAGAAAATGTCAAGTGCATTTCTCGTTCCAACTTTCGTCATTTACAAGAAAAATCTTTTGACATTTTCGTCCAGTCACTCTTCAACGAAATTAATTAAAAATATCGATTGGATTTTAAGTGAGTTAAAATGGTGCGAGGCATTAAGGAATTATTAAATGTTTAATCATCGCCGAAATACTTTTAATTTAATTTTACATTTACTCCTGTGATGCCTCAACCAAAACTTTAAAAAAATGTCTGATTCAACTGATGAAATTCCAGACTTTAATCCCAGAAATAAAATAATCTGTGCAGATATTTTTTGGTAGAAAATTCCTCAACAAAAAAACTCCTGATGTGTTCCCCTGAACCACTCACCCCCGAGGTAATCAGGAGATTTAAAAAAAGTCAAACTTGACATCTCAAATTTGACACTTACAATATTCTTTATTTGATAGCTCTGGGGGATACAAGGGCCCAATGACGTCGCCCACTAAATTTTCTCCAACCTCATCATCTGACAAATGCCTTTCGACATCATTTCACAAATACCTTTCATGAGTAGACCCCCAAATTATCTCGGTAATGAGTCGTAAAGAGGAGTTTTCTGGAGAGAATTAAAATTCTCACACTAAAAAGCCCCTTCGACACTTTCTCCCGAACCTACTCACTCCCGAAATAAACCCAAAATTCCCATGAACGTCAAATTTGATTCATCGCATTCCACCCTTAAATCCCCAAATCATCTCATTAGCGAGTGCCCGCATTTTTCACCTGAAACTCGTCTCCTCTTCAGAAAAACTCTCTTAATGTTCCCGCACCACTCACTCTCTTGATGATCTCAAAACTCCGGAACGTCAAATTTAGACGAGAGTGGGATAAATAGATCAGAATGAAGTGGAATATTTCTTTTACATTGCGAAGTTTTTTTTGGAATTCAAATCATACTGTCTTTTATAGGATATTTTTTGCAGAGGATTAAACTCCCATTAAAAACCGCCTCCTAATTTTGTCCTAAATCTCGCCACTCCCGGAATGAACCCAAAACTCCAAAGAAACATTAAGTTTTAGTAACACTTTAATCCCTAAATTCCTTCCACATGTCAGGAGACATTTTTCACTGGAGAAATCACTTTCTTGATTATCTTAAAATTCCAAAACGTTGAATTTACTCGAGAGTGGGACAAAAAAACAGAATGAAGTGGACGAGTTCTTTGACATTTTGAAAACTGTTTTTGGAACTTTAAATCGTACAATTTTTAATCGTAAATAATTCAACATTAAATAGCTGAAATCCGCCTTTTTTCAGCCCCACTTCCCCTCCTGCCCCCGAAATTCCCTGGACACCTCTACCACCCCACTAAAATCCTACCCATCATTTTTCCCACGAATTAAATTCCCCAAAAAATCCTGCACATTGATCTCAAACCTCCAAAACGTCAAATTTAGGCGACAATGGGATAATAAAACAGACTGAAGTGAAAAAATTCTTTCACATTTTGAAAACTCTTTTGGACTTCGAATCATCCCATTTTAATCCCAAATAATTCAACATTAAATACCTGAAATCAGCCTTTTTTCAGCCCCACTTCCCCTCCTGCCCCCGAAATTCCCTGGACATCTCTACCCCCCACTAAAATCCTACCCATCATTTTTCCCACGAATTAAATTCCCCAAAAAATCCTGCACATTGATCTCAAACCTCCAAAACGTCAAATTTAGGCGACAGTGGGATAATAGAACAGACTGAAGTGAAAAAATTCTTTCACATTTTGAAAACTCTCTTATGGACTTCGAATCATCCCATTTTAATCCCAAATAATTCAACATTAAATACCTGAAATCAGCCTTTTTCAGTCCCACTTCCCCTCCTGCCCCCGAAATTCCCTGGACACCTCTACCTCTCCACTAAAATCCTACCCATCATTTTCCCACGAATTAAATTCCCCAAAAAATCCTGCACATTGATCTCAAACCTCCAAAACGTCAAATTTAGGCGACAGTGGGATAATAGAACAGACTGAAGTGAAAAAATTCTTTCACATTTTGAAAACTCTTTTGGACTTCGAATCATCCCATTTTAATCCCAAATAATTCAACTTTAAATACCTGAAATCAGCCTTTTTTCAGCCCCACTTCCCCTCCTGCCCCCGAAATTCCCTGGACACCTCCACCCCCCACTAAAATCCTACCAATCATTTTCCCAAGAATTAAATACCCCGAGAATTCCTGCTCCCTCGCCGCCATCCCCTCCCCTCCCAAAACCGCAAAACGTCAAACTCTCGTCAACCACTCCTGCCCCCTGCCTCCCGCACCCCCCGGCCCCGTCAAACTCGAAAAACCTCCCCGGAAGAGGCTCTACCCCTTCGCCAGAAAATGCAAACCCTCACAAAAGCGTCGACGAGCATCATAACCGACCGAGCACAGCTCGTCGCCATGATCGCCATCACGGGCGTTTTTAGGCCATCCACCGAGACATTCCAATCAATTAATGCCCCCAATAGCTCTCCCCCTCCCCCTCAAAAACCCTAAAACCGCCGGCCCTCAAAAGTCGGAGGGCTTTCGTCCCCTCCCCGCCCCGAAACCGAGTCAAAGAACAAAGAGCACGAAAACGGGGTGAAGGACGATTCTCCCTCGCCCCAGGTGTCCGAAAAATTTTTTTTCCCCTCCCTCAGCCCCTCGTGACCCTCACGAGCCCTCCCCACGTCAAAAACCTCCCGAAAACTCACCAGAAGAGGTCCTCGAGGGCAGCGGGATCCTATTAGTGATTTTTCTCCTGGACCTCCTGACGTAGCTCCTCGACGAGCTGAAGGGAGCACTCGGCATTTTTCAATCCTCTTTTTAACAAAAAAAATGTCTCACAAACACTCTGCACAAAGCACCACCCACTCGGCCCTCTCCTCCCCCTCAAAAAGTCCCCCCGGGGGTGAGAAAAAAAATTTTCCCCCAAAAAGAAAAAAAATCCTCGAACGAAGGAGAAAAACCGAAAAACCTGGGACACTGGTTTTTTTACAACTTAAAAACCTAAAAGATTAAACAATGGCGAACACTTGCACCCAACACTGGCGGCCATCTTCTCGTTGACAGTACTCGGTGGCACTCGGGGAATTCTGTCGGACTCCTCCGTGAGTCCGAATTAATGTTTTCTCCGCGTTTTTGAAAAATAATTCGGAGCAATTGTCGCGAGGTGTTTGACTGAGCAAGGGAGTTTCGGGGGACGATGAGGGGTTTTTCCGGGGGTTTTATGCGCGATTGTGAGGGCTAGGTAGAGCTACAGTCTGTCGGAAACATCACTCGAGCCTGCGCCCCTCCCCCTGATCACTTTAGCCACCACTACAGTTTTTTTTAGGAAACGCAGGCGCCTGTGGGTTTTGTTTCGGATTTTTTTGGGGCTCTCGAGGGGTTATTTTCGGGTTCACGGGGTGAAGGGGGGCTTGTATGGGTGAGGGCGGCTCTGGGGATGACGGTGTCGCGGGGGTTTGCCACTCGCGGAGAGGGAACGAGTCTCGGGATGGGTTTTTTTTTAGTCCATTGATGCGTTTCTCTTTTGTGAGAACGATCCGAGAGAACGAGGACTTCGCGACTGAACGGGAGAGGTGCGTTGGGGCCCGTTTAACCCCCACTCTGGGCTCGGGGAAGGGCTGCCAACTTCGGGGCGGGAGGGAGGTTTGAATTCACGGGACCAGACGTGTTGCGAGCAAAAACGGGAAATTTCCTTTTTAATTGACAAATTTTCTCATCCAAATTTTAACCAATGGAACTTCATTGTTCGACGGTTTTTGGAAATTTTTTGTGTTGATATGTGAGGTATTCTATGGCAAATGAGACGGCTGACCCTTACCCTCGATTTTTTCTACGATTGGGGGACTAGAAAAACTGTCTCTCAATTTTTTTCAGATTTTTTCAACAGCCCATTCCGGAGATATAATTTTTTTTGTTTTTTTTTTTTCAATAACTCCAGTTGTATTCATCGGATTTTGATTAATGATACGTCAAATTTTTTTATTTTCTACCATCCATAAGAGTTTTTTGAGTATTTTTTTTCAACCCCTCATAACACCAATTTTTTCAAAAAAAAAAGTTGAAAAACTTGAATTTTTTTAATTTCAACCGAAACCCCTAATTTCTGGACGACAGGGCCATATTTTTTTATTTATCAAATGTCAATCAATAGAAAAAAAATTGATCACAAGATTGTTCACGAGTAATATTATTGAAAAATGAAATAATCAGAACAATTTTCATTTTATTATTTATGGAATATTCAATGGAAGTAACCCCCGTTCAGAAATTGACCTGTTTACCCTATTACATACGAGAATATCTCTATGCATTCACTAAAATTTTCCCATTCTCAACTCAAGTAGGTATTTGTCCCAATAAATCGTAGAAATGGAAATAAATTCCGTCTGGTCGTCAGACAGTCGTAGAACGTGGTTTCTGAAATTTGGTTGTTAATTTCCAAATAAACATGATTTCATAGTGAATCCCAGTTATCTCTTCTTGAGATACATTTGATTGTGAGAAATCGAACTTCTCTAGAATTGAAGTTCCTTTTATTTGTCGCAATAATGAGAGTACTTGATTTCTTTCTAGCCAAAAGTTTGTCAACTCCAGGAATTCGCTGGTTTACTCAAAAATCAAAATGATTCTCATGACTAAATGCGTTGTTATCTCAATCAACACGATCATACGTTGCGCCAAGTAAATTATAATTGAAGTGAGCATTTCGTATGTCGAATCAGGATGAATATTGTTACGCGGAAAAAGCTTTGAGATTGTAGTAAGATGTCGTTGAGTTGAAAGAAGTTTATATTTCTTGACTAAAAAAAATCGCATTAATTTACAATAACAGAATCACAGATTTCGGCAATTCAACACAAACTTGGATGCCACAAATTTCGTTCAATGTGATGTACGGAAAGCTCAATTTAAACATCGGCTTCATTCGAGAAAACAACATTCAATTAATTCCTCAATGTAATCATCTCCTAGCTACGAATTTTTAATCAATTCATGAAAGTAGAAAACTTCTCGACTTGAGATTACATTAAGTTAAAAAAAATAGAACTTTTCCATTTTTGTGGTGAATGCCTGTGACTTGACGCCAAGGACTGTTTTATTAGATTCAAGTAAATGTATCTCAAGAAGAAATGATTGACATTCACCATAAGATTATTTATTTGAAATTGGTGCAAGTATGTAATACTTATTCCAAGAAAAAAACATCTCGATAAAAATAATTTTTTCTATCAGTGCAAGCGCTTGTTTCGGTGAATCTAATGTTCTATCGGTATTCTGACATACATATTCAGATGATGAACACATTGAATAATTGGTTTGACTCTCTTTAACAAAATGCTTATGAAACCGTTATTATTGATGACTGATTTCTGTACTCTGTAGATAGTTTAAAATTTAAGATTTTCCGCTCGCAACGCCACTTTTGACCGCTTATGTATTATATCATAATGTAAAATTACACCTCGGATTACTATCTTCTAATGGATAAACTATCTGTATAACATTTAAGTTAATTCATCTACTATTTATTATAATAAATCATGTAATCAATGGATGCCTCAATGGATTTTACTTTCAAAATTGCCAGTTGATTGATGTTTTTAGCATCAATTCGTCATTCATTTCGAAATGTTGGCACCACTGCAATCTAATGAATGGAGCATTCCTCCGATTTTTTTTTAAATTTTGAGTGCAGTACGAGTTGGAGACGAGGCGTGACGAGGCGGTGCAAGTCGGTGATTCCAGGACAAAGGCAGAACCGTTTATCCATTAATTGAGACCAGATATTCACGTCAATTGCCTCAGAATTCCATCAATAAAGGGTCTGAACAAATAATCCAGTTAAAAAACCCTGAGATTTGTCATAATTCTCCGTAAACGGAACAAAATGAGCAGAAAACAACTGCTGGGTTTTGCTGACCGGGACTGTTGGTCCAAGAGCTGTTCCTCTCTGATTGAATCTAAAAACAAAAGAAAGAAAAATTTCATCGATAATATTTGTAATTATTGTTGATCATGAGGAAGTTAACTGCTGAGAAAATCCATTGGTGCGATCCAGGAAAATTTCGTTAATTCTCAATTTAAAAAAAACATGAAATGGAAACAGTCCTGGCGGAGACAAATGTATTGAAACTGTCATGGCAGCGGGTGAAGGACGCATTCTCATGTGAACATTCATGAAAACGCTTTTCTAGTCAGATTTGATATTCCTTTTTTCAATTGTTTATAATCATTCTCATGGCTAAAGCAATACGACCGATGAGAATCACATGTCCCAATTTATCAGCTGTTAAATTTTCATATTACAATACATGATTTGCTCATGTTCTGATTCCTACGCTCACTGAATAAGATTTTAATCATAATTACAATTCAATTCCTTCTGAACACACTTTAGAGTGTGAATTTCTGGAATTCAATGTTTGTTGATACTCTGGTAAAAGTGCGTGCCCACACTCTTATCAATTTTTAGTTAGTTCACACGGTAATTCAATTGATCTGTTGTTCATCTCATCAATATAATTCCGTGCTTAGAATATTGTCATCTCGTGTTATCAGCACCGAATTAAAAATTAAAACTTTATTTGGAATATTGAGTCACAGCTTCTTTCTATTCATATCAAAAATTTTGTATTTTGATATTAATATTATTTGTTCAAAGTGAAAAAAATCGATCATCATTTTCACTATATTGCATTCAGATTCTCCTATCCTTAACGTTAAAAATGTGAGATAATCTCATAATTCTAGCTATTAATTCTAATCAACTATGTTCGAAGTGAACTTTAGTAAACGCAATATTGAGGAAGTTGAATTATTCCATTTTCCTCTGACCTAATGCCGCTCGTATTCAATATCAATATTATTGAAAATTTTATTCCTTTTTTTTTTCAATGGAAAAAAGTTTGAAGAAGAAATTTTATGGGTTTATTCGTAACTTTATTTTCTTACTTAATTCCATCATTCCACCAATAAAATTTTATATCTAAAATACCTAATGAGGAATTGGCTTCAATGATATATAGAATAATACAGATCAAAGAAATTTAAATAAAAGACCATAATTTGATTTAACTCTCTTTATTTTCTCGTGGTATTAAAAAAAGAACAAATTACATTATTTGAAGACGTGTTTTGGAGACATATCGTTCTATGGCATTATACAAAGATTTTATTTCACTGTAAGTGAAGTGACCTCAGTTGGAAGATGAGCGACCTTTTATTAGACAGAGAATTCTCTTCAACATGCTCAATGTTTTGTTCTGCATCCAGACCTCGTACTAGTCTTCATATTTATCAAAACAGCAGAGTTAATAAAACCTTACATTGAGTCACATTTTTTCCCTCCCAGATCAACAAGTTTTCCACTCTCAGATAAGCTCACTGACTTACACCTCCCCTCCATAAATAATAAANCGAAAAAGTCATGTCAAAATCACACAGCTGTGCTCAAGCATGAAGGATTCAAGTCAAGAAATGATGCTCATCCACTATTGACTAATAATTATATTCGAAGGTAGACATCAAGAAAATCAAATAAAAGACCATTCTTCAATTTAACTCTCTTTATTTTCTCTTGGTATTAAAAAAGAACAAATTACATTACTTGAAGACGTGTTTTGGAGACACATATCGTTCTATGGCATTATACAAAGATTTTATTCAACTGTAGTTGAAATGACCTCAGTTGGAAGATAAGAGACCCTTTACTAAATCGAGAATTCCCTTCAACATTCTGAGTTTCGTTTTGACTAAAACCATACAATGTATTGAGTCACATTTTGCTTCTTTCCCTCCCAGATCCACAAGATCTCTCAGCTAAGCTCACTGACTCACACCTCCCCTCCATAAATAATAAGTAGTTCACAAAAAATTCTAGATCACCTTAAACACTTCGAGATGACTAAAAAAATAAACGTAATGAAAAAGAGAAAAACCTTATGAATAAAGCGAAAAAGTCATGTCAAAATCACACAGCTGTGCTCAAGAATGCTGAATCCTCAAAAAAAAAAAAATACCTCTTATCCACTGCCACTCCCATACTGACCCCCAATCTGTCCACTCTTATGAAGATTGCAGTGTGCATCGAGCTCGTACGAATTTCCAAACTTCTGCATGCAGATGGTGCAGAGGAACGTGTGCTGCGCCTCCTGATGCTCCTTGAGCATCTGTTCATTCTCAAAAACCGTGAGATTGGGGCAGAGAGCGCAGACCAATCGATCAGTAACATTAATGATACTTCCATGCATCGCCTGAACGTGTGCCTCAAGATCCTGATAAGTCGAGAACTGATAGTTCAAGCACAAACTGCACCTGTAGAGCTCCGGTGTGAGTGTAACTCCAGCAGTCGACGAAGGCACAACCTGGCTCTGGTACTGATACCCATACATCGAGTTCACAGCACTCCCCAACTGCTGGCTATACGCAATATTGTAATTCTGAATAGCAGAGCTCAGCATCTGCTGCGAGTGTGTGGCAAAATGCTTCTGGAATTCCCCAGGCGAATCAGTCTCGAATGTCGAGCACACCAGACACTTGTACTTGTTCTGACCCTGCAGTTGGCCCTGGCCCTGCATCTGACATGGGAATTTCTCATTAATCAAACTGTACACAACTGTTTGCACATCAAGTGGTAAATTTTGATGCTGTGCTAAATGAGTGAGGAAGTCATAGAGAGTGTTATAATAGTTTTGTGGACAAATTGGACATACGTATGTGTTCTGTGTATTTCCTCCTTGATTCACTGAACTCTGGAGTCTCTCATCGACACTCAGGGCCCCATACAACTGTGAATTCATTGGTCTACTGTAATGGGCATTAGCCATTCCCGAGTTTGACGTTGGAATTGGTGTGACCCTGTTCATGGGTTTTGCACCACTGGATGCCTCCTGTCTCGTCGACAGAGGTGTCGCTCTCCTTGCCTCGGTTCCCTGGGCCCTCTGAGGAATATTCGGGAGAATTCTCCTCCCTGGCACGTGAGGGGCACTCCCCTCAGCCTCCCCATCCCCAGAATCAACTCCATTTGAGGTGCTCTGCTGCTTCGAGGGACTCCTCGCTGACTTCAAGTTGGCCATCAAGTGCTCAGTCAACGTGTTACCTGTCTTACTGTTCCCCCGAGACTCCTGACCATTTTTATTCTCGTCTTGCAGCTCAGACAAATTCTTCACACGTAAAAATCCCTGGGGCTTCGACAGGGGTTTCTTAACTACAGTCACTGACCCACTGCTCTCAGAGGACTCGTCTCGATTGGCTTTCTTCGATTTATCTCCCTCACCATCACGAGCTTTCTCACCCTCATCATGCGCTGATGTCTCTGAGAGAATCTCAATGTCACTGTCCGCAGCTGAAGCTGTCAGCCCAGCCTTCAGAACAGAGGTTTCCTTCTCTGGAGAGGACTTCTGAGGACTCTCCATCACCTGGAGAATCTGGACGTCATCACTGTTGCTCGTTGTGCTGTTCTCCGGCATGTCCTCGACCTCGAGATTGCTCTCACCAGTTCTGGGGCCAGAAACCTGACGATCACCTGTGATTTCCTCATTTTCGCCAGTACTATTTTCACCAGCTGATCGATTCTGCAGAAGAGAAGCGATGCCCTCATTCGAAATCCCCTCCTCCCGCACCAGGGAATCCCTCTCAGTGACAGAGCCCCCAGTGGCGGTGGTGTCCCTCACAGTAAGTGCGAATGTCGACGAGTTCTGGCCCCTGGTGGTCTCCATAGTCTTCACCGGTGACAGATTGGTGACGAGAGACGCCGAGAGGGTCGACTCCGAGGGATTCGCCTGGGTGAGCACCACCTGAACAGTCGGGTCCTCCAGGGCCCTCACCTTCGGTGGCGAAGAGGTCTGCTCAGAGCTCTGAACGACATTCGGAATGGCAATGTTGATGACCACAGGCCCATTCACCTGCTGGCTCGTTCCCCCCTCGTTGTTATTCTGGGGCTGAACACAGAGAACGAGCCCCGAGGACTGGGCACTGCGAGAGGGCGAGAGGATCACAGCTGAGGATGGCAGTGTTGTCTTCGCGGCGATTGGCGAAAACTGACGGGTTATCGGCGTTAAATTTTTCGCTGGGGATGATGGCTGGGGGGTCTGGGTCACTGGGGCCTTGGTCACCACCACCTGGGGGACTGGCTTGAGGCCCCCTCGAGTCCCCACTATTCTCCCAGCAGCGTGGTAGTCCACATTGTGTCTAGAGAGATCTTCAGAGTTCTTGAAGGCCAGATTACAGAGTTTGCAGATCTCCTTCGTTCCGAAGGACACCCTGCAGGAGGGATTCTCCTTTCTGCAGAGCACCACGACGTGCCTTATGTACGCTGAGAGGGTGTAGTAGGTGTCCTTGCAGGCTGAACACCAGTACTTCATCAATTCGTGCTTGAGCCAGTGCTTGTTGAGGCCCTCGAGGGAGCCATAGGCCTTTCGACATATCGTGCAGGCGTAGGGTCTCTCCACCGATCTGTTGAACTTCTCCAGGGCGAGGGTGGCGTCGAAGTGGGTGAAGGCGTGCTCCTGGACGAGGGACTGCCTCGTTGGGTATACCTTCTCGCAAATATCACATATCCAGGTTTTCACGTAGAACGATGAGGTGTCTTGGACTTCAGGGGCTTTGGGGAGGACTTGCTGGAGCTTCTGAAGCTGCACGACTTTTGGGGGCGCAGGGCTCTGAGGTAGGACAGGTCTAGGGGCTGGGGGATGAGATAGAACAGGTCTAGGTGGTGGAGGTGCACTGACAGCTGANTCTCAGTGACAGAGCCCCCAGTGGCGGTGGTGTCCCTCACAGTAAGTGCGAATGTCGACGAGTTCTGGCCCCTGGTGGTCTCCATAGTCTTCACCGGTGACAGATTGGTGACGAGAGACGCCGAGAGGGTCGACTCCGAGGGATTCGCCTGGGTGAGCACCACCTGAACAGTCGGGTCCTCCAGGGCCCTCACCTTCGGTGGCGAAGAGGTCTGCTCAGAGCTCTGAACGACATTCGGAATGGCAATGTTGATGACCACAGGCCCATTCACCTGCTGGCTCGTTCCCCCCTCGTTGTTATTCTGGGGCTGAACACAGAGAACGAGCCCCGAGGACTGGGCACTGCGAGAGGGCGAGAGGATCACAGCTGAGGATGGCAGTGTTGTCTTCGCGGCGATTGGCGAAAACTGACGGGTTATCGGCGTTAAATTTTTCGCTGGGGATGATGGCTGGGGGGTCTGGGTCACTGGGGCCTTGGTCACCACCACCTGGGGGACTGGCTTGAGGCCCCCTCGAGTCCCCACTATTCTCCCAGCAGCGTGGTAGTCCACATTGTGTCTAGAGAGATCTTCAGAGTTCTTGAAGGCCAGATTACAGAGTTTGCAGATCTCCTTCGTTCCGAAGGACACCCTGCAGGAGGGATTCTCCTTTCTGCAGAGCACCACGACGTGCCTTATGTACGCTGAGAGGGTGTAGTAGGTGTCCTTGCAGGCTGAACACCAGTACTTCATCAATTCGTGCTTGAGCCAGTGCTTGTTGAGGCCCTCGAGGGAGCCATAGGCCTTTCGACATATCGTGCAGGCGTAGGGTCTCTCCACCGATCTGTTGAACTTCTCCAGGGCGAGGGTGGCGTCGAAGTGGGTGAAGGCGTGCTCCTGGACGAGGGACTGCCTCGTTGGGTATACCTTCTCGCAAATATCACATATCCAGGTTTTCACGTAGAACGATGAGGTGTCTTGGACTTCAGGGGCTTTGGGGAGGACTTGCTGGAGCTTCTGAAGCTGCACGACTTTTGGGGGCGCAGGGCTCTGAGGTAGGACAGGTCTAGGGGCTGGGGGATGAGATAGAACAGGTCTAGGTGGTGGAGGTGCACTGACAGCTGATCGAGGGGCAGGTCGAGGGGGAGGGGGTCGCAGCAGGGGGGGCCTGCCTCGAGGTCGAGGGACTCGAGGTGGTGCAGCAACTGTCATCTGGGATTTGGTGATGACGTTGAATTTTATCCCCTCGACTGGCTTCTTCGGGGGCTCTGGGGCTGGGGGAGGGGCTGGGGGGCTCTTGGGGGCCTCCTTGGGGAGACTCGGCTGCTGCTTCGACTCCTCGCCCCTGCACTCCCTCATGTGATTCAGCAAATCACCGTCCGACGAGAACTGCTGCTTGCAGGATCTGCAGACGTACTCAGCAACGAAGAAATACTGCTCTCCCGGCTGCTTTCCAATGGGATTTTTCCCTCGATTGGAGACACATAATTTTGGGAATGAGTACCTGCTCGCCACGAACATGGGGTCCTTCTCGTGGTTGAACCAGTGGGTGCAGAAGACAGTTCCCACACCGAAGAACACGACTCGGCAGATGTTGCAGACGAAGGTGACGGTACCATGGCGATTTATGCTGACGTGTTTCTCCAGGTGTTTTCTCATGTCTGACAGGTTACTCAGGACCACTCTGCAGGTGCTGCAAAAGAGCCGAGGGGAGCGCCCCTTCCTCCTGTCCTTGTTGCAGAGAGCGTTCGACCTGTAGTGGGTCTCGAAGCACTCACTCCTCCTGAATAAAACCTTGCAGATCTCGCAGAAGAGGACCATTTCGATCTGCACTGTGAGGTCTGTGGGTTGTAGATCGTCCACGTGGCAGGGGCATATGGCCACTGGCACTGATGTCTTCTGACTGCTCTTCCCCTTCGAGGACTTCTCGTTCATTATGGCAATGCCTGGCTGATTTGGCTCAGCAGCCTCTGCCTCGGTGTCTGACCTGTCCTCAGGGTCTGATTCGTGGGAGCTCAGGATCTCCACGTCCGGTCGAGGCTCCTTGCTGCGAGACTGGCGTTTTGCTGCTTTGAAGGCCTCCTCGTGCTCCCTCTGGGTGTGACTCCACAGGTGCCTCTGCAGCAGCTCGTGATTCTCCAGTGTCTGCGAGCACAGGGTGCACTCCAGACTCGTTGACTTTGGCGCCAGCCTGCTGTGCTTCTTCATCTTCATCCCTTTGCTCTTGGACTTGACCTTCTTCGATGACGTCGGCTCACACGTGTGCTTCAGCACTCCACCCACAGTGTCGAACGTCTCCTTGCACTCCTCGCAGGACAGGGGATTCGACAGGAGTGTCTCTGGGGAGTTGGAGGAGTCGTCCTCCTCGGTGACTGCTGGGGCCTCCGAGGGAGGGCCCTCCACCTTGGAGGCATCATCTGGAGATTCTGCCTCGTTGCCAGCCCCCAGATCCTCGTGGCTCCTCAGGGGGTCCACTTCAGAGCAGGAACTCACATCACTCGAGATTCTCCTCCTGTTCCTCATCCGCCCAGGGAAATTACAGGTGCCCAGTAGATCGTCATCGTCACTGCTGTCACTGGAGTGTGACTTGTCAGTGTCAGGTGACATGACGAGACAGTAGGAGTCCTCCGAGTCCTCCAGACCCCTGAACCCCCTGATGATCTCCACGTGCCTCTCAGTCAGGTGTTTGCGATCTGGAAAATAATGGTTATTTTCCAGTGCCTCCATCACGTCCTCCAGTTTGGTCACTAGGACTGTGGGCTCCTTCATGAGACAGAGGTCCATCAGCTCCTCGTCGTTGTCGGACTCGTTCTCCTCGTCTGAGGGCGCACCATTCGTGTTTAAACTCTCGGGCTCTGGACTGGAGCTGATTGTCTCCTCGACATCGTCCACCTCGTCGTCGGATTCCTGGGATTCCTGCGCCAGGGGGAGACCCTCGACACTTTGGCTTCTGTCACAACTATCCTCACAGCTATCCATTATCAGGCTGGCTACATCCTCGAGGCTCTCGGCGTCGATTTCACTCTCGTCGTCGAGCAAAACACCTCGGGATGGGGTGGCAACCCTCAGTCTTGGGAGGTTTATCGTCAGCTCCTTGGAGGGGACAGCCACGTCTGCTGAGGTGGCTGTCAGTCGCTTGGACGTTGGCTTCTCCTCACCAGAGTCTGATGAGACACTTCTTCGTTTTCTCTTGTACTTCCAGAGGGGAAAGGGCTCGTCGTTCTCCAGGGGGAGGCTCAACTCCCTCGTGTCGTCTGCTCTGCTCTCTGGGAGGCCATCGGAGAGCCCATCCACTGGGGTTTGCACGTCAGAATCAATCAATCTGGCGCCATTTTCGTCGACGTTCGAGGATGATACTGATAACTTTCGAGCTTGAGACTTCTTCGGCTTCCCGAAGGCCCCCTTTCGCCGAGGCCTACGCTTTTTAATCGATTTTCTTTGGTTTCTCCATCGGTTTATCTCGGAGCTCTTCAGGGGGGTCAGCACCACCGACACGCGACGACATCTCTCCAAGTTCTCTTTGTCCATTTTTATGATCAACTGGGCATCGTTGGGAGGTCGGATTTTTTGCAGGGGGAACACTGGAAACAGAAACGACAGAAACGATAATTGTGATGGAATAACACTTTGCTTGAGAATGGGGGCAGTGGAATCGTGCAAATTTAAGTTTTGGATTTTTTGGGGTGTGTTGACTTATTATGATGCAAAAAGACCGACTATAGTGTTTTAAAATCCTATATGTATGTATGTATGTGCAGAATTGTTAATAAATGGAGGGAATTGAATCATTTTTTTGCGGATGTAGGTATTGTTGAGCCCTATCCATCGACATTAATTGAAATTTAATTTATTTATTATATTTTTGAATTTTTGAATTTTTTTAAAAATCGGTTGTCCTGCCATAACTAAAAAAATGTTCAAATGTTTTTTAAAATTTAATTCAGCGATTAGTTTTTTTAAATTTCGATTTTTTTCGAAAATCGGTTATCCTACAATAACAAAAAAAATGTTCTGGATTGATTGAATGATGGCTTGAAAAAATTCTTTGGATGTCTTTCGACCGAGTTCGAATATGAAGGCGGTAGCTGTTTGATTTTTAGAATTTTCAACAATTCTGTATTTTATAAAAATTACAATTTCGAGGATATCTTTGGATGTCATGCTCTAAATTCATTCAATGATAGCTGAAAATATTAGTTTCAAAGCCACTCTGTCGAAGTTAAAAGATCGTTGCGATACCTATATTCGTTGGTTTGATTTTTATGATTTTTGTGAATTTAGAATTTTTCGTAAATTGCTCTGAAAGTGAACTTTCCGATGGTTTCTTCAAATATGATGTTTCAAATTTATTCCATAATATAGATAGCATCATTCTTCCATTCGATTTATAAAATAATTAAGGAAATTATTCTCATAGCATTCAAAAGTTTGTTGATTTTCCATCTTTTGGAAAATTTACTTCCACTGATTATTTGAATAAAAAAAAAGGTTAAAATTGATTCAATTATCCTTAAAACCACCTACTTTGACTTCACTTTCATCGAATAAATGGATGTTGCAGGGGAGAATGGGGTAAAATGAAACAGTCGAAAAGCGACTGTTTGACCGCAATTCAAGCAAAACAAAAATTTTGTTATCACCTATTTTGTTTATGAACTTTTGCTTATCAACTTTTTTTTATTATTGGGATTACGGATGAGAATAATAATTTGCCATTCAGCAGAATGGAAAATAAATGAGAAGTTTTGACGGTAGAAGATTTTGTCAATGGATTAATTGGAAAGAAAATGAAACAGCAAAATCCAAAGTTCAGAGGAAGGCCCAGGGGGAGACCGAGAGGGGGGAAAAGGAAAATGTGATGCTGAATTTCAATCGAATGAAAAAAGAAAAGTGTAATCGCCCTAATCTAATCAATTGAATTATAGATGAAATATTTCATATTACTTGAAAAGAGAACTGTGGATAAAATTAGTGAAAATTATTAATATTGTCGTTTCGATATGAGAAATGTATGAAAAACCTTCGGGAGTTTCGAATGAGGAGAGACCATAGACTCAGCGATGACGAGGTCTTAGTTTGGCTGCTGGAGAGTCAGGGGACAAGCTGACTAGTGGACGTTGAGATCGAGATCTAACAGGGGAGTGGGATTCATCTGTGGAGGTAGTCGCTACGCTATACAGGGCTTTCGAATATCACTGATTTTTTCGCACCGCATGTTCTTTTCTACCGAATAGAAAATTATTATTCTCATCAGTACTCCCAATAATAAAAAAAGTTAATAAACAAAAGTGGATAAAATAGTATATTTCGTAACGAGTGCAAAAAACATTTTTTCACGAGTTACGAACAATATTTTTCATCACAATGTGGCGGAAATTGGACTTTTAGGCACGCTCCGCGTGCCTAAAAGTTCACTTTTCGTCACAGCGTGATGAAAAAAATTTTTTCACTTGAATCGCGTCAAATAGTCGTTTTTCGCCTGTTCATTTAGCCCCACTCCTCCCAAGATAATAGATATATATTATTTCATATTTGAAACTTCATCAAATATCAAGCTAAATTAAAAATACAACACACCTGATTAAACAAAAAATTTCCCTGAATTCAATAAAATGATATGAAACCATGAATTATATACAATAAAATCAGATGACATGCGTATTCCAAATTTATTCCAAAAAAACTATCCAATATCAACAAAAAAGCAAATCCCCACTAGTTTTTTTTACTGTTATCAACCCACCTTGACGTTCGCGTCTACAGATAACGATGTGAATTCTTTGGTTTCATGTTTCATGCCAGTTCGCACCCCTCGACCACTGGAACGACGACAATTGTGAGCATCAAGTGCAACAGTGTCGTAATTATCATCAACTAAGTCGTTTGTCTCACCTCAGACCATCAATTCAAGCACAAACAACAATTGTTGTCGTTGAACAATCGATTTTGTTGCACAACTGCTCGAGATATGCTGTGATATGTTGTGAAATGGTACTCTCCGACAATTCATTCATTCCATTTGTTCATTCGCTGTGTCCCTCTCACTCAATACGACTCAAAACAATTTACTCTCGTATTTCAATGATTTTGATGATTAATACTGCAGTTTAAAACACTATTCGGCCCGTGTTGTCTTTGTTATGACGAGAATGCACGTACGAGTCACATGAAACGACTCCAAATGAACAAATTCGTGATGCTTAACCTCGAAAAATATTCCCCCTGGATAAATGCGACAAGGTGCCCTAGTTTATCGACGAAATCGTGGGGTCGAGTATCGAACTGGTGCCCCACACACGCCAGTTTTTACCGAGAATTACCAGTGACAAGTGGGGGATCGAAAAATAAAAATAAAAGCCGGATTCAATTAAACAGGTGGGGGGGGGACTGAAGTGATCCGTGAAGTTGAGTGCAGAGGAACATTTACATATTTACATGGGCCACAGCGTGCGAGAGCGTGAGATGAGGGAAGATCTCGAGTCGAAATACAGCCAGGAAGGCAAGGATGAACCCCTCAACTTGTTGAACAATATGGTCGACGCGAGAGCGTGCTACAAGCCCAGCGAGCGAGTAAGAATACGCTCTCCTAATTGTCATTCGGTATTTTTTGTCATGAGAGGATTGATGATTATGGGGGAGGACGTACGCCTGCTGTAGACGTCCTCCCGCTTTCTGTATATAAGTTGTTTCGGAGTCACTGCTCACCGGCGTTCTTTCACTCCCTCTGACATTTGTCCGTGGTTTTATTGCTGTCGGGGGTCATGGGACGAGGGGGAGAGAGACTAGTGCACTGATGGAAAAATTGTTTTATTGAGATGTTTCTTTCTTGAGACAAGGATTATACGGCTGAACCAATTTCAAATAGGGGAGGTTGAGGTAACTGGACACTTTTGACTTTTTTAAAAATATTAGTGACGGGTTGAAATGTTGATGAAATTTAATGATTTTTTTTCTTAATACAAAGAACGATTGTTTCCCTTTGAGATGAGCCTGAACTGAGCTCTATTGTTACATTTGTTTCTGAGTTATGAATAATTTTAAAAAAGTAAAGGGTCCATTTTACTCGACCCTCCCCTAAATAAGATCTTACGGTGAATGTCAATTATTTCTTCTTGAGGTACATTTAGTTGAATCGAATAAGTCTGGCGTCGAGTCACATGTATTCACCACAAAAATGGGAAAGTTCGATTTTTTTTCAACTTAATGTAGTCTCCAGTCAAGAAATTTTCTACTTTCGTGAATTGATGAAAAATTCGTAGCTAGGAGATGATTACATTGAGGAATTAATTGAATGTTGTTTTCTCGAATGAAGCCGATGTTTAAATTGAGCTTTCCGTACATCACATTGAACGAAATTTGATATCCAAGTTTGTGTTGAATTGCCGAAATCTGTGATTCTGTTATTGTAAAGTAATGCGATTTTTTTTAGTCAAGAAATATAAATTTCTTTCAACTCAACGACATCTTACTACAATCTCAAAGCTTTTTCCGCGTAACAATATTCATCCTGATTCGCCATACGAAATGCTCACTTCAATTATAATTTACTTGGAGCAACGTATGATCGTGTTGATTGAGATAACAACGTATTTAGTCATGAGAATAATTTTGATTTTTGAGTGAACCAACGAATTTCTGGAGTTGCCAAACCTTTGGCTAGAAAGAAATCAAATACTCTCATTATTGCGACAAATAAAAGGAACTTCAGTTCTAGAGAAGTTCGATTTCTCACAATCAAATGTATCTCAAGGAGGGATAACTGGTATTCACTGTGAAATCATGTTTATTTGAAAATTAACAACCAAATGATAGTTGGTTCAAATAAAATTCTCTTGATAAAACTAATTTTTTCTGTCAGTCTTTGAGCTTTAAAAGTCACGGGCTATTGAAGAACGATATAACGACAACGAAGAACGATAACAAAAATGAATTGTTTATCGTGTTTGAAAAATTAGTTGTCAACCCGAAAAATGTTTCTGAAAGAATACAGAATTTTTCTGCCTGCTTACATGAATGGCGCAAATTTCTATATTAAACAAAACGAAATTAGCTGGGTAGCACTCGAATTTCAAAAAACTAATTCGTAACTGTTATTGTCCACATTTTTTTTTAATTTTGAGAGAGAGAAAAATTTTTGTAGTTCAAAAATTGGAGGCCCTGGACTATTTTTAACGTTTTAAACGTCCGCGGGGCAAATGAACAATAAACAATTTTTTTTGCGCTAATTATTCGTTATTAGAAATATATAATCGATCTTCAATGCATGAGAACGTATGTGTATTCTCCCCTTAATGACTCGGGAAATGTCACAGAGGTCTGGAAACTAGGGCGAAAGCTCCTAATTTCACGTTGACTATCCAAATTTAACGAAATCATTGGAGTGATGATTCCGAATAGAAGGAGTTGATTAGGTATTCCAAGCCCGTTCAAAAAGCTTCCGTCTGCATATCATCGAGGGGAATTCCGTAGAGTCGAGGGAATGCAGCTGAAAAAAATATTTATGGAGGAGATGAGAACTCCATTCGCATTAAACTGTCTTCCTGGACTTCCTGAGTGCCTTTTCAGACTGGAAGCCAGTGCAATTAACTCGAAATTAGGTAATAGACGGTAATTAGAGGTTTAGCCAGCGTGTCCGGGCATAATAACGATGTGCATTCAACGCCGAACACGGAGGCATGTCAGAAGGAGAGAGACTCAATGAGAACTGCTGATGATTCTCATTAAGAAACAGAAATTTTCGAGTTTTATCGACGAATTGAGGAGCTTTTTATGAGAGCTAGGTGATATTTCATGGGAATTATTATTCAGTTCACTCGTTCGTGTCTTTTATTCGTTTTTTAAAATTCTTTATTCATTCACTTGTCATATTAAACAGGTGGACAATGGACAGTGTTTTTTTACAAATTAGTGTAGTAATTAGTGATAATAAATTGACAATTTGCTTTCGAATGGGTTCTCTTTTTTTAAATTCTTTTTTCACTATTCTCTTCTTCTTGTGCGACCCCCATCATATTCTGATAGAATCAAGAGGGTATTGTTATCAATTTTTTGAGCCATGACTAATTCCATTTTGATGACAATAAATTGACAATTTGCTTTGGAATGGGTTCTCTTTTTTAAATTCTTTTTTTCACTACTCTCTTCTTCTATTTTTTCGTGTCATAGTACTATCATCAATTGAAATGTCATCAAAATTTTGCGTATTATTTCATTCTGTCAAATAATTCTACATTCAGACCCTCTCAAGACTCGAATTCGTTTTCTGTCCGGGTTTAATCGAGGTTCAATCAAGGTTTAATCAGTGTAGAGCCGGGATTTAATCAGGGTTTATTCAGGATTTAGCCGGAGTTTAACCCAGGTTCTGTCAGAAGTTACTCGGGAGCATGAATCAATATGAATAAGTATTCAACATAATAGACTGGTAGCTGAGTTTAATAGAGATGGAGATTTTTATATAAAAAGCTCATGACGGTATTGTGTAACTTGATAAGCAATGATGCTGTTCTCACCATTTTTCAACTTGATTAAGAAGCCGTTGAAATATACTTTTCAAGTCCTGATTTAATTGCTATTACTGATGATTCTTTCAGTAATCATGAAAAAACCGATTTTCTCTTTCAAATCGCATAAACAATGTGCTGTAACTCAACAACGAATTGTGCGACCCCCATCATATTATGATGGAATCAAGAGGGTATTGTTATCAAGTTTTTGACCCATGACTTATTTTGATGACAATTTTTTAAGTGATCGTTGAAAAATCGATTTTTGGAAAAATGTCAATTTTTTCGAATCTGATGAAAAATTGAATTTTAATTGGTGTCAACGAATAGAGCGTACTGAAGGTTATATTCATGAGAAAATACGAAAAAAGACCCCATACATATCCAATTTTACAAAAAATTAGAACCTTAAATTTAAACGATTACAAAGCTTCCATGCGGAAGCAAAGAAGACACTTCAACACTAAAGGAGATATTTCGGAGGCTGCGTGCCTGTGCTTCGAACTCCAAGATTAAATTGACAATTAACGGACGGACACTTGCAATTCGATCCTGAAGAATCGATTTTGGCCTAGAACTAAAAATACCTCCCCCACTTTAATCAGCATCACCCCTCTCTCCTTTTAATTCGCTTTCCCTGGGCCGGAATGACGAGGTACCACCAATGTGTATAATTAATCCCAGCCAGGATGAAAAAAAAAAATTGCCGAAATTCTGGGCAGAGCGATCATCGAAATTTCACTCGCGTGAATACATTTATTCCACTTGATTTATGGGAATACACAGGGGCATCTGGCGAAAGCTCACTCTCATATTCGTTTAGTTTCTCGTATTGGTATGACATCGCGACGAATTAGGGGCACGCAGTTTCCCTCACCCAAGTGCTGACTTTTTATTCCATTTTATGATTATTTAGTCGGTGCGAGGGACGAGTTTGAAATTCTGGTTCTGTCGGGTGTTTTCACTGCAAGTGAAATCTACGCATCTTCGGTTGATTGATTTCCCCCGTCCTTTCATTGATTTTCTCAATATGATCTCAAGCAAAACACCTCGAATAGCTCAAATCATTCAATGATAATTCTTTAGAACAATCGAATCTGAAACGGTTCAAGTCGATTTTGACTATTGGCGAGTTTTCAGTAAATATCTTGGAGTCTAAGGGAGATAGCGGAATTTTTGTCATGACTTTTTTTGTAGAGCGAACTGAGGGCTACAAAAAAGGTCATTACGAAAATTTCATTATCTCTCTTAGATTCGGAGATATTCGTCGAAAACTGCTAATGGCTAAATCGACTTAAGGATTCCAAGTAACTTTTACAGTTTGGTACATTTAAATCATCAAATTTGTCGATTAAATTGTGTGAGAAAATTTTGATAAAAAGCATGAATATTCAGCGCTATTTAAATTACATTTTGCACAGAATTGTCATTTTTAAAAAAATTCGTTGTTTATAAATAAAATTGAATCTTTTGAATAGAATTGAATATTTTTGTTTCACATGTAGGTATTGTTGAGCCCTATCAATCGCCATTAATTAACATTTAATTCATCGATTAGTTTTTTTAATTTTCGAATTTCCTCGAAAATTGGTTGTCCCACAATAACTGAAAATAATTTTCTAAATTGATTGAATGACGGCTTAAAAAATTTGTTTGGATGTCCTTTTGACCGAGTTGGAAGATGAAGGCGATAGCAATAATCGTTATTTTGATTTATTTAATAATTTGCAAAAATTTTGCATTTTTTGAAAATCAGAATTCCGGGGATATTTTTGAATATCATGCTTCAAAAGAATTCAATCATAGCTTAAAATGTTTGTTTTTATGCCATTAAGTCAAAGTTGAAAGATGATTACGATAAATTTCGAATTTTTCATGAATTTCCCTGAAAGTGAGCTTTCTGATGGTTTCTTCAAATGTGATGTTTCAAATTCATTCAACTATGTGTAAATAAAATTTTTCTGTTAACATTTGATCGAAGGGCTGAGGGGAGAGATAGAACTGTAAAAAAGACAATCGGTTGTATAGAAGAAAGGGATAATAAGAATAATGATGATGATAACATTCAACTAAGTTGAAAATCTGACAAAATTAGTTGAAAAGAAATCTTATTCAATTTAATAAAATGGAATAAACAATGAATTATACATGATAGAAGGAAATGATGTGCAGAATCACCATTCGGAAGCATATGCTAATTTATTAGCAAAAATAACTACTATATGCAATGCAAGAGCAATTTCCCACTTTATTACGGCTCCGATTGTCTATACATTATTCATAAAAAACGCTCGTAATTTTCAAAAATTGAAATTTTTAAATTACTCCATCAATCTTCTCCCAAAGATAAACTTTCCAATTTTCTCAGATTTCTAAAATATTCTCCAACGGTTCAAAGTTTAAATAAAAAATCGCAAAATCAAAAACAAAATAACACAATCATTGTAAACGCCACCAACAAAAGCAGAGAATCATTTCCCTGCGGAAAAAATAGTTAAAGTACTCAGATATCCTTAAGCATAAAAAATACGACTTCAAGTCTCTCTCATCTCATTAGTATGTTTCACCTCCTCCAGCGGAATTGAAATTCCAAATTTCCTGACCAAACTACAGTCACCGCCGAATGTTTACACTTGCTCCGTTATAAGCTATACTCATGCCTGATATCATGCAGCAAAACGGCAACCAGAGACGGTAGAAGGGAGTCGCGTTAACAGCCTTTCGGGTTCCCAACAAATGTGCCTCAGTGAGTGTCGAGTGCTCGCCGGGAGTGAAACCCCTCCCGCTAAATAATCGCAGTCCTCCGGATAAAACTGCACCAATCACAATAAACTGAGACCTTATGATTTTGTAGTTAGCATTTTGCATTGTTTTCGTATTATTTCAGTAACTTCAGTTGCCGAAAGCACCGGAACTAGAGAGATTCGCTGAGTTTTGTTTCAGTTGTTGCATGGAAATTGCTTTGATTTATTTCGAAAAACTGTACCTCCTGCACATTTATCGAAAATCACATGAACACGTGAGATCATTTCCACTCGGAAATTATGACCAACGATAAACAGGTGAGTTGGCTTTATTGCTCTGCATCCAATCACCTCCAGTAGTTGAAATTATCATTGATTTTTAAGTAATTGCCTCGTTAGATAATAAAGCTCGGGGGGCAAATTGGGTCGAGGCCTGTCTATTCCCAACTTGATCGATAAAAACAGTTCTTACCTTCGTCAGCTATCACTTTCATATCGAATTGATGGAACTGAGGCGTCAATTGCTATTCCCCTCATTAATCGCGGAATTGATGTTTAATTGAATCATTGGTAAAAAGGAACATTAATTTCTACAACTTTCGATCGCTTCGTAAACTAGATGCCCAGCTGGAGAAAAAAAGGCTATAGGATTAGAAAATAGCCATCGCGTGTTCGCGGAATTTTCCATTTACTCTGGAGTTGTTTAGTGTTGGGTTGATAAAAGTAAAAACTGTTTGAAAAACTGTGAAGACATTGTTTTTTTATTTAGAATGAAGATTAAGGAAATTGAATATTATAGTCGCCTGAATTTTTATAAATTCTGCAGAATTATTAAAGTGAAATTGAAAGTTGTTATTAATTTGCTCGTCGACTCCCTGAAATTTCATGGAAATGTTGTTAAAATTTTTTAAATAACACCGGAAATTATCATAATAAGGGATTTGTGCGAAGCAGAAAATGTCGTCAAGTTTTAGGGGAATTCAATGTAACATTGACAGAAAAAATAGATTTTATCAAGAGAATTTTTTTTGAACCAACTGTCATTCGGTTGTTAATTTTCAAATAAACATGATTTCATAGTGAATACCAGTTATCCTTCTTGAGATACATTTGATTGGGAGAAATTGAACTTCTCTAGAATTGAAGTTTCTTTTATTTGTCGCAATAATGAGAGTATTTGATTTCTTTCTAGCCAAAAGTTTGCCAACTCCAGAAATTCGTTGGTTCACTCAAAAATCAAAATTATTCTCATGACTAAATACGTTGTTATCTCAATCAACACGATCATTCGTTGCTCCAAGTAAATTATAATTGAAGTGAGCATTTCGTATGGCGAATCAGGATGAATATTGTTACGCGGAAAAAGCTTTGAGATTGTAGTAAGAGGTCGTTCCGTTGAAAGAAGTTTATATTTCTTGACTAAAAAAAATCGCATTAGTTTACAATAACAGAATCACAGATTTCGGCAATTCAACACAAACTTGGATATCACAAATTTCGTTCAATGTGATGTACGGAAAGCTCAATTTAAACATCGGCTTCATTCGAGAAAACAACATTCAATTAATTCCTCAATGTAATCATCTCCTAGCTACGAATTTTTCATCAATTCATAAAAGTAGAAAATTTCTCGACTGGAGATTACATTAGGTTAAAAAAATAGAACTTTTCCATTTTTGTGGTGAATACATGTGACTTGACGCCAAGGACTGTTTTATTTGATTCAAGTAAATGTATCTCAAGAAGAAATAATTGATATTCACCGTAAGATGAATCCGCGTATCGAAGCGGTAAAACTATTCAAGTCGACTTAGCTGTTAGCTGCGTTTTCCAGGGTTATGTCCGAATCTACGGGAGATAGAGAAATTTCCGTAATGACCTTTTTCGTAGAATGAATTGAGACCTACAAAAAAGTTCTTGACAAAAATTTTGCTGTCTGCCTTAGATTCCGAGATATTATAATTGAAAACTGACTAGTAAAATCGACTTGAGCCGTTTCACCGCTTCGAAACTGCACTTAATCAATATTGATTCTTGAATAGAGTCTCCGATTGATTGAAAATTAGAAATTATACACTCCTCAATTTTCATAATTTCTGCAGAATGATTGAAGTGAAATTCAAAGGCATAATTAGTTTCCTCGTAAACGCCCTGAAATTTCATGGAAATGTTGTTAAGAATTTCCAAGTAGCACCGGAAATTATCATAATAAAGCATTTGAAAATTGCAGTTGTGGTTCCGTGGTGTGCGTAGCAGCAAATTTCGCCATGTTTATGGTGTACCAGCGAAGCGTGACAAGTGCTATGACAATATTAAGATAACGAAGAACGCCCATGACTCGCAATTCTGCGCTGTTAATCCAAAGTTTCTTGCCATTGTGACGGAAGTTGCTGGAGGTGGTGCATTTCTCGTCGTACCCCTCGATAACGTGAGTAATGTCGACCTAAAATAATAACCATTATCGTTTAAATTAGTATTCGGTAAGTGCAGTGAGAAAAATAAATTTAAAATGCACGAAAAAAATTTATTCATCATTGATAATTTCGTACATGAAAGAGAATTATTTGAAAAGAGTACAAAATGAATCCATCAAATTCTCGCAACAATTGTTACAGATTGTTACAATTGTTTACAGAAGGTTGACACTGACGAGAATTTTCGTATTAAGCATAAAATTTTTATTTATTTTTTTCCAATTTTTTAAGATTTTTTTCTACATTTTAATTTTTTCTTCCAATGTTTAAAAATTCATTTTCTCGTGAGACTCTGTGTTATTATGTCACGTCTGAATTAATTATCATTAATAATACTGGACTTCAAGATGAACACAAACTCAACTAGAATTTTTTTTATTCATATCAACTTTCGTTTGGAATTTATTTCAGATTTTCATCTTCAAAATTTCAGTTATATTTATCGTTGAATGTAGTGAAGAAAAATGAATTTATAATGCCTGAAAAAAAAATTATTCATCATTGATAATTTCTCATATGAATTTTAACTTCAAAAAAAAAATTCTAAAATAAAAAACAAACAAAAATAAAAAAATTCTTTCTACAATTATTTTCTTAACCAATAATTGCTCGTTTGACTAAGCATCCTATACATTCGGAATACCCAGAAACATAAATTATTTATCACAAAAGTTTGACACTGACGATAATTTTCGTATCAGACATAAAATTTTTATTCATTTTTTTCTAATTTTTTTAGATTTTTATTTCAAATTGTCATCTTCAAAATTTAAGTTATGTTTTTACTCCTGTAAATCTCGCATAAACCATTTCATTTCAGACTAAAAAGACACTAAATGCTAAAACACTCAAATTCTCAATCTGTCAAACACAAAAAAACTACTAAAATCTGAAAAAAAATTCACAAAAATCTTCGAACATTTTTCGACGATCTCCTCAATTTCTCAGCGTTAATTACATTATTAATTCCTCACAAACAATTAAACATCCGCAAAATTATCTCGAGCAGATACAGGAGATAATTCAGCGGAAGGATATCACTTTCCTCATGAACAAAAACCCCATTAACCATTTTTAATGAACTCGAGGCAGATGAAGACACATTAAAATAATCCTCTCCATGTGTGAATGAGTCTGTATGACCTTGGTCCGCGGATTCACCTCGCGTGGCTAGAATTATTGTTAATGACGACAAGGAGAGAAAAAGAAAGATGCTCCACAGTTTGTTTGGCACGTATTTGAGGCCGGCAATGGATAAAAACGCACTTTCACTGGCTATTTCTCGATGTTAATCGTTACCCAGCAAATCAGCTATTCTCCCACTATTTTTTTTTATTTCGATCTCTCGAGACTATTTACATCTCGTGTGTCTACTTTCAAAGCGAGTGGACATGTCTCCCGAATTTCTTTTTTCATCGGAATCAGTCAGACATCGACATAAACATTCTCATTGCAAAAAGAAATTCGACCGATGAGAATCGTATGTCCCAATTTATCAGCTGCTAAATTTTCATATTACAATAAATGATTTGCTCATGTTCTGATTCCTACGCTCACTGAATAAGATTTTAATCATAATTACAATTCAATTCCTTCTGGAACACACTTTAGAGTGTGAATTTCTGGAATTCAATGTTTGTTGATACTCTGGTAAAAGTGCGTGCCCACACTGTTATCAATTTTTAGTTAGTTCACACGGTAATTCAATTAATCTGTTGTTCATCTCATCAATATAATTCCGTGCTTAGAATATTGTCATCTCGTGTTATCAGCACCAAATGAAAAATTAAAACTCCATTTGGAATATTGAGTCACAGCTTCTTTTTATTCATATCAGAAATTTTGTATTTGGATATTAATATTATTTGTTCAAAGTGAAAAAATCGATCATCATTTTCACTATATTGCATTCGGATTCTCCTATCCTTAAGGTCAAAAATGTGAGATAATCTCATAATTCTAGCTATTAATTCTAATCAACTTTGTTCGAAGAAAACCTTAGTAAACGCAATATTAAGAAAGTTGAATTATTCTATTTTCCTCTGAACTAATTGATCTGGACGATTGTGATTCGTTTATTCATGTTTCATAGAATGGTATTCAATTCTCTTTTGTTTGTCCGGCAGGCTTCATGAAAATACGTTTTTTTAAGAATGTTGAATTTTGAATTACTCAATTGGTAAATATTACTCAACAATTTTTTAATTATTTAATTAATCATCAATTCAATATTCAAATTCCCAATTATTTTAGAAATCAATAATTGAGTTAGGAAGATTTTATGAAATTTAGAATGATTTTTTCAGTAGTCGATTTGCAATTCCTTACTATCAATTATTTTATTATTTTTCAAACTTCAACGAAATTAGAAAAATTATAAATATTAAGTGAACCCCAATTTTTTTAACGTCCAACTTCTCTTAATATTAATAATCTAATGATTGACGCCGATTCCTGGAATCAATCACTTTCCTATAGTCAATCGATATCGTTACTTAAACTCTATTTGTTTTTCATCCCAGACTGGGAGACTCGATTTCAATGCCAACAGAGTTACGGGACACACTGGCCCCGTTTTGGATATCAAGTGGAATCCGTTCAATGATAATGTCATTGCCTCCTGCTCGGACGACTGTACCGTAAGTCCAACTCATTAAAATTATTTTGATTGGGTGGTAATCGGGAAGATTTATCCTAGGTGTAGAAATTCCCGTATTAAAAATATTCAGCTTTTTACAGTTACTATTGGTATGGAAATTTGTCAATTTAATTGGAAAAAGAAATTGGGAAATTATTTGTGGATGGCAAATTAATTCAAAGCCAATCTAATTAAAGGGGGGGACACCGTTTTTTAAAAGTAATATCAGTATTTAATGGGGAATTTCGGCAATTTTTAAAATTATTTTTTCTATGTGTAAAAAAATGTAGGCGTGACGCATTATGAAATTTTCATTTTTCACTAATATTAATTTTTTATTTAACAGAAGGAATTGATTAATTTAAAATTTTCCAAAAAATTTCAATTCAATTCACTTATTTATGGAAAAATAAATTAAATTAAAAAAATAACTAACTTGTGCAAAATGTAATTTGAATTTGATTTTTTTCAAATTTTTCTCATGCAATTTAATTGACAAATTTGATGATTGAAAATGGCTGAATCTGTAGTACGAGCCGTATAAAACTGTAAAAGATGCTTAGATATCCTTAAAAGTAAATAAATAAATAAAGATATCCTTAATAAATAAATAAGGATATCTTTATTTATCCCAACATTCCAAACTCAACTTTTACTGCTTCAAAACTGCTGAAAACCCTCCTCCAAAAAAAACAGGTAAAGCTATGGCACATCCCCGACGGAGGTCTCTCCCGCAACCTAACGGAATGGCTGGTGGAGCTCCAAGGCCACAAGCGCCGAGTCGCCTACATCGAATGGCACCCAGTGGCGGAGAACATCCTCTTCAGCGCTGGTTTCGACCACTTAATAATCGTATGGGACATAAACCGGGGCGAGGCGATAAACATAATCGATCGCCACCCGGACGTCATCTACAGCATGTCCCTGAACCGAGACGGAAGCCTGCTGGCCACCACCTGCAAGGACAAGAAGCTGAGGGTCTTCGAGCCCCGCTCCAGCATAGTAGTGTCAGAGGGTGTCTGTCATGCGGGCACAAAAGCCAGTAAAGTCGTATTTCTGGGTGGAACAGGACGCCTCTTGACAACTGGCTTCAGTAAACACTCGGACCGACAGTACGCAGTCTGGAGTCAGCACGATTTGTCGAGCCCACTGGCCTGCGAGACGATAGATTCCTCCAGTGGCATTGTCTTCCCCTTCTGCGATAGCGATACCAACGTGGTTTATCTGGCTGGCAAGGGCGACGGCAACATCAGATACTACGAGTACGTTAATGAGGCACCATGGGTCCACTACCTCAGCCAATTCATTTCCGGGAATCCTCAGAGGGGCCTGGGGGTCATGCCCAAGAGGGGGATCAACACTAGCACTTGTGAGGTCTTCAGGTTCTTCAAGCTGCACGCCACTCGGGGAATGTGTGAACCTATTTCCATGATTGTGCCCAGGAAGGTAGGATCAAGAACTATATTGGTTGATTTTTTTATACTAGGGGGCTACCCCTGCTCGCTCCGCTCGCCAACCACTACATGAACCCCATGCTGCTTATTCTGACCCTTGTGGCCCTTGATCTGACCCTCGCGACCCTCATTATGACCCTCTTATACCCCTCGTGACCCTTATTTCGACCCTTAATTTAGGAATTTTAATTTCGAATATCTCGTGACCTTATTCTGACCCTTTAAGCCTTAATATGATCCTCGTGACCCTTAACTGATCCTTGTGACCCTTATTTGGATCCTTAATCTGAACTCTGTTCTTACTTAGACCCTTGTTATCCTTATTTGGGCCCTTAATCTGATCCCTGTGATCCAAATTTTCTTGAGTCACAAGCAAGAGTTGCAAATTTTTTGAGACCCTTGCGTTCCTTACTTTCTGGCTCCCATGACCCTTATTTGGACCCTCATTATAACCCTCGTGACCCCTATTTTGACCCTGGTGAACCTTAGTTTTTGGCTCTTAGATTTTGATCCCCAAGTCCCTTATTTGGACCCTTCTCTGACCCTTATGACCCTTAATCTGATCCTTGTGAGACTTATTTAGACCCGCAATCTAACCCTTGTGACCATTAATCTTGTGACCCTTAATCGTACGACCCTTAATCGGACACACATAACCCTTAATTTGATCCTTGTGACCCTTACTCTGACCCTTATGACCCGTAATCTGATCCTTGTGAGACTTATTAAGACCCTTGTTATCCTTTTTGGGCCCTTAATTTGACCCTTGTTATCCTCATTTGGGCCCTTAATTTGACCCTTGTGACCCTTATGGCCCTTACACCGACCCTCGCGACCTTTATTCTGCCCCTCATAACCCTTATTCTGACCCTCATGACCCTTTTCGAGTACCAAATTTTTATTACCAGAAATGTGTTGATACCCTTTCTCCCCTCAACTTCGATATTCCCTTTTTCAATTAATTGTTTATAATCATTCTCATTGCAAAATGCAATACGACCGCTGATAATCATGTCTCAATTTATCAGCTGTTCATCTCTTGCTCTATTTTTAAACCCCCCTTCGAGTCCACAACCCATCTTTCAATATCCAAATGCATCTTTACACTTTTATCAAGGATCGGACCATCGATTCCTCATACTCCTGTCTTTTTTATTATCAGAGTGATCAATTTCAAGAAGACTTGTATCCAGATACAGTGGGCACCACACCCGCATTATCAGCGAAAGATTGGATTAGCGGGATCAACAGTCAACCCCTCCTAATCTCCCTGAAAACAGGTGAGCCCCATAAATAACTATTTCTACTACCAATTACTCAATGAATCAATCCATTAATGGTTTTTCTTTTATTGAGCTACAGGTGGAGGCATCACAACACACAAGCCTCGAGTGTACAAGCCCCCTCAGTCAATTCCAGCAGCTGATGTGAACACGAAAAAAAAATTTGCATTTCTATCGACAGAAACAATCCCCGATTATCGACCAATTGATCCTCTGGATATTGAGAAGAGCCAGAAGACTTCGAACAATCAGAGCACGAAAATCCATCAGCTGCAGCAGAGATTCGGTCACGTGACCATCCAGGTGAGACTTCAATCACAATTCTCTCAATATTCGTGTTTTACTTCAATGATTCTCCATTTATGGAGAAAATTCAATCGTCAGTCAACTGTAACTTCGCTTCTGTGTGATGCTTTGTTTCACGATTAGTGAAATTTCACATATTCTTGAATTTATTATTTTTGAAAATGAAGAATTACATGTCATTTAATCGTGGAAATTTAAGGGGGTCGCACCATTTTTTTGAGCTCTAGAAGTATTTGATGGAAATATTTGGGGATTTTTTAAATTTCTTCTTTAGTTTTTAAAAAAGTTTAGATATGATATATCAGGAAGTTTTCATTTTTCAGTGACAGTCGTTTTTATTGAACAGAAGAAATTGAGTGATTTAAAATTTCATAGGATTGATGTTGCGGAAAAGTCATATGAAATACACGAAAAAAAATTTCGTTGAGGAAAATTGAGAATCGAAGGACTAATAGGGTTTTTGCGAGAAAACGAAAAATTACGATTTTCATATGAAGTCGGGCAATTCCCAATATAATTTTCCAGATTTATTGTAATTTGATTATTGGTTGAGCTTTTTGTGATAAAAATAGCCATCAAATGATTTTCTTTTTTTAATTTCTGATCGAAAATGGGGATTTTTCCATTTTTCGAGTCGAAAAAACAAAGAAAAATGACGATTTTCAATAGGAAAATCAAAGAAACTAATAAATAAATGAATATAATTTTCTAGATTTATAGTAATTTGATTATTGGTTGAGTTTTCAGTGATGAAAATATCCATCTAATTATCATTTTTCTCTATTTCTTATCGGAAAGTGTAATTGTAATTGTGAATCGAATTGTTTTCGATTTGTTCGATTTGATTCGTAAAAACCCTGCTAGTCCCACAATTTTCATATTTTTTAACGACATTTTTTTGTGTATTCAATCGCACGAAATTTGAAACTACTCAGCTCCTTCAATCAAATAATAACTGAATGTTTTTTTATAATTTTTTAAATAAAAAATGAGTGTTATTCAAAAATAAGAATAAAATAAAAAATAATCCGATGAACACTTAAAAAAATTGAAAATATTAAATGACAAGTGATTAAAAACAAAGCAGCAAATGAAATTCGATCAAAAAATTGTTCACTAAATTCTAAATTTAATTTTCTAAATTGAAATCTTTTTTTATTTTTTTTAAATAAAAAATGAATATTTTCACATAAAGAAGAAATTTAAAAAAATTACTGTGACCTCTCTCAATCCTCACAATAAAATAGAATTGCATAATTCAAGAATTAAATCCGATGAACAATTGAAAAAATGACAAGCATTAAATGACAAGTGATGAAAAACGAAACAGCAAATGAAATTCGATCAACAAATTGTTCACTAAATTGTAAATGATATACTATTGTATTGTTTCATTGAGTTTTATCTAACACACTAACACTTTGCATGGTCCATCAAGCCAACAAGATGTAGCACCCAATTCTATGAGCTCGTTAGCAAGTTCGGGGCGTATTCCAATGTTTACAAGGTAGGTTTGCCTATTTATTCCCCGAAATTAAACTAACATAGTTTAGGTGCCATTGATCATCGATATCAAATCCAAGCATCCGGACTGGCTATTCATCCTACTTATAGTTATCATAATTCCTAATCGTTCATGTGCTCAACTAATTCAGTGAATAACATTTGGAATGACTGGGAATGTCTTGATGGATGGGAAAGTAAATTTGAAAATTCAATGACGTTTTATTGCTGCCCAGAACAATGCACCCCTCAACGACAACAAGATCATGGAGTCTGTGGATATACCTAACAACGAAGCTGAATTGCGACTGGCATATGCCAGACAGACTGATGAGTTGCGTCTAGCTAGACGACAGCTTGCTAATAGCCAAGTGAGGGTCAAGGAACTCGAGGAGCAGCTGAGAAAACTACAGAATAATTGAGATAATTTTTTTTACTGAATTATTAGAACCAAGTGACTTTGGTTGAGTGAAGGAGAGAAAATCATTCTGAGGGTTCAACGAGTTTTCTTTCACGACAAAATTCCCCTGACATTTTTCCCGCAAAATCGCATTCTAGCATTTTTTTTTGTTCTTTATTTCCTTACGATTCCCCCAGTCAGTGTCATTTACTTAGAAAAAAAATTGTTCAGTATTCAATTTAGTAAGAAATTAATAACAGTAATAACAATTCTCAGTGTGTGGGTATAAGATTACTAACAAACAAAATAAAATTCTATTGATAATTAGGTTGAAAGGGGATGGGTTTTTAGAAAAAATTGTAAATGACTTAATTTATTGCATTTTCGTAAGAGATTGGGTTTTTCTATCCTCATATGTTGCTGATGAAGGCACCAACAACTGTTTGAAATAAATAAATTATTTATTAATTAATTGTTTGAATCAAATAAGAAATGTTTTCACGAAATTCCCATTTTTTAGAGGTGAATATCACAGAAAGTATGTTGTATAAAATTTTACAGAAAATGCATTCTATTAGGGAAGTGGATCATTTTTGTCTATTAGGAATGTTCTACCCACAAATACATCATGATTAAAGGAAATTCGATATTCAAGACTCTTTTTTTGTTAGGGGAGAATGGGGCAAAATAAAACAGTCAAAAAAAGACTGTTTGACGCAATTCAAGTTAAAAAAAATTCTTTATTAACTTTCCTTTATTATTGGAAGTACTGACGAGAATAATAATTCAGTAGAATGGAGAATAATTGAGAAGTTTTGACGGTAGAAGATTTTGCCAATGGATTAATTGAAAAGAAAATGAAACAGCAAAATCCAAAGTCCAGTGGAAGGCCCAGAGGGGGGAAAAGGAAAATGTGATGCTGAATTTCAGTCGAATGAAAAAAGAAAAGTGTAATCGCCCTAATCTAATCAATTGAATTATAGATGAAATATTTCATATTACTTGAAAAGAGAACTGTGGATAAAATTAGTGAAAATTATTAATATTGTCGTTTCGATATGAGAAATGTATGAAAAACCTTCGGGAGTTTCGAATGAGGAGAGACCATAGACGCAGCGATGACGAGGTCTTAGTTTGGCTGCTGGAGAGTCAGGGGACAAGCTGACTAGTGGACGTTGAGATCGAGATCTAACAGGGGAGTGGGATTCATCTGTGGAGGTAGTCGCTACGCTATACAGGGCTTTCGAATATCACTGATTTTTTCGCACCGCATGTTCTTTTCTACCGAAACGAAAATTATTATTCTCATCAGTACTTCCAATAATAAAAAAGTTAATAAACAAAAGTTGATAAAAAAAATTTTTTGCTTGAATTGCGTCAAATAGTCGTTCTTCGTCTGTTTCATTTTGCCCCACTCTCCCCTGTAAATTGAATTAATGAAAAGCCATGAAAGGAAAAGGAAAAAAATGTCGGACAAATTTTGTCGGGAAAGAAAAGATGGATCACCTTTCTGACGAATCGTGATTGAAAATTAAATGCTATTGGTATGCTTTGTGCTGAAACTCTATAAACGATTTGTGCTGAGAGAAACATCGCTTTGCATTTGTCGTTTGCAATAATTATTGTATTGAAAATATGAAATGGACCTAATCATTGTTCAATGAATTATTCGTTTTGTTTTTTTAACGATTGAAGAACAACAGGATGATTTTATTTAGATTGACATTTTGTAAGTTAAGTTGACTCTGTGATTCACTCATGTAATTTTTTTTTGTTGTTTTTATCCATTCCCCTTGTAATGTCTGTTTAATTAATTTTGGAATTTATGATCCTGGAGCATATAAATTTTTCTTCTCGTTTTTCTTTCGCAGCTTACGAGTATCTTGTGGTTTAGAATTTGATGTCTGTGGAGTATCTAGAGTTAGGAGAACGAATCTATGATGATTATTCAAATCAATTTGTACTGATTTGTATATTACAATGTTTATATGTATTTTTAATACCTCGATGTTGTGGATTAAGCTAATTTCTTGAGTTTGCCCCTCATATATCTCATCAATTTCATAATTCATCTGTGTGAAGAGAAAAAAACCGCCAAAAATTGCCTCTGAATTTCATTTATTATAGGGGAAAATGGATGTAAAAAAATTGAGAGGAAATTTTTAGCAGATTTTTCTCTTCTTTCGTAAAAATCTGTTGTCTCAGTGTATTAACTCCCAAATGAGAACATCAAATTTAGCTGTGCCTTCAAATCAGATGAAAAAGCTGCCTTTTTTAATTTCTTAGAAGTCTACTCTGTAATGGGAACACATTTACGCAGCTTAAGGTATATCCCAAGACAATAGCCCCCAAGAGGTGGTGCCTATGGATTTCTGGAAAAAAATTTAGATGACTTAAGGATATCCAACTACTTTGGCTAATTTCAAATTTAGGTTTTGCATTTTTTGTATTATATAGACCCAGTATGATCCAAAAAGTCCTTAGACCTCGTCCGTATGTGTATGTGTTAATGATTGGATGCAATTGAATCTTTTTTTTTCAATTACAGGTATTGTTGAGCCTTATCAATGCCATTAATTGAAATTTAATTCTTCGATTATTTTTTTTAATTTTCGAATTTTTTCGAAAACCGGTTGTCCCACGATAACTAAAAAAAATGTTTTGAATTGATTGAATGATGGGTTAAAAAAATTGTTTGGATATCCTTTTGACCGAGTTCGAAGATGAAGGCGATAGCAATAATCGTTATTTTGATTTATTTGAAAATTTGCAAAAATTTTGTATTTTTTGAAAATCAGAATTCCGGGGATATCTTTGAATATCATGCTTCAAATGAATTTAATCATAGTTTAAAATGTTTGTTTTAATGCCATTAAGTCCAAGTTAAAAGATGATTACAATAGCCATATTGGTTGATTTGATTTTTATGATGATTGTTGAAAATTTCGAATTTTTCATGAATTTCCCTGAAAGTGAACTTTCTGATGGTTTCTTCAAATGTGATGTTTCAAATTCATTCAAGTATGTGTAAATAAAATTTTTCTATTAACATTTTATCGAAGGGCTGAGGGGAGAGATAGAACTGTAAAATAGACAATCGGTTGTATAGAAGAAAGGGATAATAAGAATAATGATGATGATAACATTCAACTAAGTTGAAAATCTGACAAAATTAGTTGAAAAGAAATCTTATTCAATTTAATAAAATGAAATGAACAATGAATTATCCATGATAGAAGGGAATGCTGTGCAAAATAGCCATTCGAAAGCATATTGCTTATTTATTATCAAAAATAACTATACTATTTGCAATACAAGAGCAATTTCCCACTTGTTTCCCCAGTAAAATGCGTTTCTACCTTTGTAGTCGAACATCAGAGATTTCATTTGATCCAAAAATTTCCCGACATTTTGCCATGATTTTATTATTTATTCCAGGTCTAAATTGAAATCTCAATATTGAACCGTTGGAAAACATTTTAAAAATCTGAAAAAAAAATGGAAAGTTTACTTTTGACCGAAGATTGACGAAATAATTTAAAAAATTGCAATTTTTGAATATTACGAGCATTTTCTATAAATCATTCATAAACAATCAATTTTCCATCATAAAAATCATCATTTGTTGGTAACAAATTTATTCATTAGAATTATTCCTTCGAATTTTTTCGTTAGAATTAGAATAGCCAGAATTTTTTGAATGGCTGAAAAATAGTATAAACCTTATCCCCGAAAAACATGGGGACAATCCCAAGAAAACCCTATTCTATTGTCTTGGACTAAACCTTAAAGTTGCCTCAGTCGATTGAACCGCACAATTAGAGAGAAATGTTTTTACATGTGCCAATAGTTGGTACCAGTTCGATTAACGTGGACTATACGAGCAGACGTAAAAAAGGATATTTGAAGATAGCCAGTCACAATGACACGTGTGTTGCCTTAAGCCTACGAAATAAAGCCACAAATGCCAAAGAGAAAGTGTCGATTCATATATTCAGACTATTTTATCATTCAACAAACGACCAGACCTGTTCATTTTATTAAAAAAACAATCACGCTACAACACAATTAGTATTTGTACGTACAAATCGATATAAATCCGTAGAAATGTAAAACCGAATCATTTTATAATTTGTAGCTTATTTTAAAGAATAAAGAAGTCGAGTATTCGTAATGCGAAGAAGGCATGTTATTTTTCAGATGTCGTTTCAAGTCTATAAATAATCCACGCACTAATGGCTCGTCATCAGTGTCTAATACCCTGAAATTAATACGCTGAATGCCAACATGTAGATTCCTTACACAATTGTTCGTACAAAATCTCGTAAAAATCCTAGAGCACTAAATAATAATTGTATTCTAATGTCTAGTTTGGGACGGAATGAGATTCATTGAAAATATCAGTTATTCTAGGACGGACTGTGGACGAATTTTAAAATATTTTGTTGGTCATGCTCATCTACTGAACGTGTAGAGGAGTGTGAAGATCGTAATTAGGGATATTGTTCCTGCACTCGTTGTGACCCTAGTCCCGGGATTGCAACCGTCTGAGGAGCAGGTGTAGACGCAGGTCCTGTATTCCAAGGAGTCACCCACCTGCTCTGCGTAATTGCAGTAGTTTCCCATGTGCACTGAGGAGCAGTAACGCTTTGTTCCAATGCCACCTGGTGAATAATTTTTTTTTTATAAAAATAAGAGAGATGAAATTTAATTGAATGAAGTAAATGGTTAGATTGAATTGAATGACTGAATGGCGAGAGAATAAAAAGCGGATGTGCGAATGTTGAATATCATCAATTGCAAGTTATTATAGCGCAAATTTTCATGGACAAATTTTTTTTTTTGGTTTTCATTATTATTAAAAAAAAGTGTAGGCATGAAATTTCCATTTTTCAATGACACTATTTCAAATTCAGAGAGTGGGGCTAAATGAAACAGGCGAAAAACGACTATTTCACGCGATTCAAGCAAAACAATTTTTTTATCAACTTTTGTTTATTAACTTTTTTTATTATTGGGGATATTGATGAGAATAATAGTTTTCTATTCGGTAGAAAAGAACATGTGGTCATCACATTTTCCTTTTTCTCCTCTGGGTCTACCCTGGGTCTTCCTCTGGACTTTGGATTTGACTGTTTCCTTTTCTTTTCAATTAATCCATTGACAAAATCTTCTACCGTCAAAACTTCTCATTTATTTTCCATTCTGCTGAATGGAAAATTATTACTCTCATCAGTACTCCCCATAAATAAACAAGTTTAAAAAATTGTTTTCCCCAGTCCTATAATTTTCAATATTTTCCAACTAATTTTTTCAAAGAAATTATTCAATTGCTTTTGTTGAATAAAACAATTGGATGGATGTTAATGGGTGTTATTGAAAAATAAAAATTTCTAGATGTTTCATTGCGGCAATTTTTCACATACAGAAATTTTTTTAAAAATTGCCGAAATTTACCATCAAATACTTCTGGTACTTGAAAATAGCGGAGTGAGTATTCTTAATAAAAAAAGAAGTGAGAAAAATTAGAAAAATTAAAACAAAAGTGAGAATTAATTCACAAAGTGCAGGAAGACATCCCAATGTTAGTTTAACGCTATTTATGAACCTCCATAACGTCCAGTGGTTTTAATGCAATACCGAGCATCAAAAACATGATCACAGCTCTCAGGTGGCTGCGCGTCTTCAGTGAGAAAGCCCTCTCCACAGGTCCACTCAGTAGCCGACGTGCACTGATAGCATTTTATACCGAGTGCTCCATTCATTAAATTAACGAGAAATCAGTAAGATTATAATTAATTCTACCAAAGGCAGTTATTCACGTGCAAAATTATTCATTTCAAGAGGGTATCAATAGCTGATTAGTAAGAGTAATGGTGAATTTCCGTCTGCAAGCCCCCAAAATGCCTTTTCAATTATTTTTTTACCCTCGTAACGTCCCACATGTTTGACACAGTACTGAGCCCCGAAGACATCATCACAGGACTCTGGTACCATATCGATATCATCTGTTAGGAACTCATTACACTGAAACTGGTGTTTACCACTCGTATTGTTGCATCGGTAACACTCAATGCCTCTAGCTAATGAAAAAAAATAACGAAATACAAAATTAAATTGAAAAACTTGATAATAACTCATAAAAGAATAATAGAAATTAATGAACTTTGGGTTAGAGAAATACAATTTTAAATAATTGATAACTTCCAAAAAAATGTATTAAATTATTCAAAGGAGATTGAAGAATTCTTTTTCAATTCTTCTCAATAATTCTTTTTGTCTCGAATATTTCCAACATATTAAATTAGTGGAGTATAATAGAAAATATTAGTTGATCTTTTCTACAAATGGTAATTCATAAATTACTTAGAACGCTATAAACGAAATAAAAAATTAAATTAAAAAACTTGATAATAACTCATAAAAGAATAATAGAAATTAATGAACTTTGGGTGAGAGAAATACAATTTTAAATAATTGATAGCTTCCAAAAAAATGTATTCAATTATTCAAAGGAGATTGAAAAATTCTTTTTCAATTCTTTTCAATAATTCTTTTTGTCTCGAATATTTCCAACATATTAAATTAGTGGAGTATAATAGAAAATATTATTTGATCTCTTCTACAAATGGTAATTCATAAATTACTTAGAACGCTATAAACGAAATAAAAAATTAAATTAAAAAACTTGATAATAACTCATAAAAGAATAATAGAAATTAATGAACTTTGGGTGAGAGAAATACAATTTTAAATAATTGATAGCTTCCAAAAAAATGTATTCAATTATTCAAAGGAGATTGAAAAATTCTTTTTCAATTCTTTTCAATAATTCTTTTTGTCTCGAATATTTCCAACATATTAAATTAGTGGAGTATAATAGAAAATATTATTTGATCTTTTCTACAAATGGTAATTCATAAATTACTTAGAACGCTATAAACGAAATAAAAAATTAAATTAAAAAACTTGATAATAACTCATAAAAGAATAATAGAAATTAATGAACTTTGGGTGAGAGAAATACAATTTTAAATAATTGATAGCTTCCAAAAAAATGTATTCAATTATTCAAAGGAGATTGAAAAATTCTTTTTCAATTCTTTTCAATAATTCTTTTTGTCTCGAATATTTCCAACATATTAAATTAGTGGAGTATAATAGAAAATATTATTTGATCTCTTCTACAAATGGTAATTCATAAACTACTTGAAACCCTATTGACATCCAATTTTTATTAAATTCCCCAGCTGTGAAAATGAACAAAAAATCCTTTGAATAGAATAAAAAAAGTCTAGTCCTATTGCTCCAAATTTTGCAATCATGCAATAATAATTCTCCAAAAAAAACATTCAATTATTTGAACAAAAGTTTAAAAAATCTAAATGTAAAATTTACATATGTATGAGATAAATCTAATATTCTTAAAATATTCAAATCGTGATATAAAATGAATATTATTTCATCTCTCCTTCAAGCCCGAATAATTAAATACTATGGTAAATAGCATTTCATCAACTGTTTAAAATCCTATTTACATCCAACTTTTGATAAATCCCCCCCCCCTCAATAAAAATAAACAAAAATAAATATTGATTGAAATAAAACAAAAAAAATTGAAAGCTATTACAAATATTTAAAAAAAAAGAACAGAATAAAAAAAGTCTCTGTCTATTGCTCCACAAATCGCAATCAACCAATAATAATTCTCAACAAAAATGCATTCCATCAGTTGAATGAAAGTTTACAAAATCATTTAAATCTCGTAAGGGACTTAATAGACACTCTCTAATTCCTTATTTCTTAAATATTCAAATATTGAAATAACAAATATTATTTCACCCCCCCCCCCC